GACGGTAGCAAAAAGAGAAAAAATCTGAGTAGGTAGACTGCCGAGGGCGTCATCCTATCTCTCCTCTTTCCCAACCCTCTCCATTTCCATTTAACCTAGATAGTAACCAAAAGTGACAGATTTTAGATGAGATCTTCGATGATTTCTTTCAGACTTTCCACCGTCGGTCCTTTCACGGCACCATCTCGTGGAAAAGCGAATGTATTCGGGCGACCACACACCCAATCCGCGGCCACCACACCTTGCTCGGTAGACCTCGGGGTTCTCTCCCCTTCGTGGTGTAGCGCGTTCCCGAAGCTTTCGGACCCGGCCTCGCCAAGGGGGGGCAGTCATCACTGTTCCTTCTCACCCTCCTCTACGCCAAATGTCACCTCCCACCACCACACCTACTAGTAACTCGTTTTATTGCTTTTTTTATTATTTATTTTATTCTTCTATTCCTACCGACTGACCCATGCCATCTGCCCTTTTCCATCTCCAACCTCCAACACCTCGCCGGACACCCAGCCCCCCGCCGGAGAGTAGACCACGCCCCCCTCCCTCCTCAAACCAACCAAGGCCACCCTACCGACACGCTCCCTCCAATTTACCGGCTTCCCTTCCCCGGCCCCATCGTCCGGCCCCTCTTCGTAGCTTTCCGGGACTCATTTCCTGGGACGGAAGGCCTCCTCACCCACCTTCTAGAACAATTCCATCACCAGATCGTTGCACACCAACACGTGTTGGGCGGCAACTCAAAACTCGCGCTTGCTACCAATTGGTCTACACATCTCCGATGGCTAGCAAGCAGATTGCGGTTGCTTGCGAGGGACCATGTACGTATACGTAGTTGCGGCCCCAAGACTACCGCAGTCAAGAGAGGCCAAGCTTTCCAGCGGGCTATCATCCCGAATGCAGGAAGCGTAAGCCCTTGAGGGGGAAAAGTCATTTTCGGAACGATGTTTAAACTTTCACGATCCTTGGTTGGCGTCGGCTCTTCATCCTCGACTCGACGTAGGCTCGCCGTTCGAAACCGGTTGTCTTGTTAGGAATTCCAGTAGTCTGGCAGCTGGCTGGGAGAGGTCGTATCCACGAGCGAACCTGTCATTTATCCTCCCAGACCCTCGGGTTCAATTTACGGCTTTCTCCGGGCCCCCGGGGGAAGTTAACAGCAGTCGGCGATTACCTAGCCATCTACGGATACCTACACAGTAATTAGCCCTGCGAATCCCGCGGCGTTGGCCAGCCGTGTAAACGAACCGACGAATGGAAGCCTGTCAGAAGGGCTCAGTTGTCTCACTTTCAAGACGCACCAAGTCACGCCGACCCCTGAAGCCGTACACCATCATCATTCGGAAGATGTTGGCCAGCGTGGGCGCGTGCAGCCTTCATTGACTTTTGCTCAGTCATACGGAACTTCCGTCGGCGTTTGAGCGACACATCAACGGAACCTCAGTTCAAGGAAAACATCAAACGCTTCGCAGTTGCAGAAACCGTTCCCTTTGCGCCTCATGTGGGAGCGTCAAGGGGAACATGTGAAAAAAGCACTGGCCAGCGGATATGTGAAAGGACGCGAGAGAAAGTGAAATGCGCACCACCAGGGCCATCGGTCAAGTCTCGCTATTCGGTCACTATGGCGTTCATCCAATCCTGTGCGGGTCAATTGAACAATGGCCTGAATTTGGCTCGCGAAATCCTAAGCATTGACACCCCATTTCCACACGCCTACTTCCTGGGGTGAGGGGGGAGAGAATGAGATTCATGACTAGAGGCATCGTTTCATTGTAGCGGGGGAAGTAAGCATGAACTCTGTTATTTGCCTGCTTTTCTCACGACTGTCCATCCTGCATCTGAGAGCTTCTCCCCATGCTAGGGTGAGTGAAGATCAGGGACGGGACATATCATCCCAATAAACGCGAACCACGTCATCGGCGTTTAATTGTGCCTTGAGAGATGGTGGTGTGAAAACGGGGGAATAACGATTCGGAGGAAACCTACTTTAGAGAGGTGTGTATTCAAGGAAAAAGAAAACTTGCGAGTCGCTATGCAAATATCTTCGAGTCAGAAATGGGTTGAAAATCTCACGGCAGGCAAGATCAAAACTTGGATGGAAGCTTGAAATGTGTGATGGCCCATGAGACGTAAACGAAGTAAGATGGAGGGAGGGTGGCCCCCCATTGTTCCGCGCCGGTAGAGTGCTTCTCCGCGAGATCCACGTGTCAAGCTTCCCTGCCGTCCTCTAGTCCAACTCAGCTCGTCAAAATACATTTCCGCCGAAACGCTCTCACCGAGGATGAGAGGGACACACCAGCGCCGCCGTCGTCATCCGGTCATTTGTCCTCCGTTACCCCGGGACAGCGTTCCCCGGACGTTGATTATTCTGGTGACCCTGCAGCGGAATGCCGGGGTTCACTGGCGTCGCAAACAAACCGTTCGAGTCAGAAGATCTAGACCGTTGGGATCTACCGGCTATTACAACTTATCCGTTCTCACTTGGCAATACAAATGCAGGTCCCGTGTGCACACGGATAGTGACGACAAGACAAGGAAACGCGGTTGACTATTTGGGGCTTGACGTCGGACACGTCTGCAACCATGCCACGTTATTCATCGATATTCCGAAGAGCGACCGTTTAGTTTTCCGGGGCTACTCCAACCTGTCAATTCCGCTCTCTAGCTTCGTTCTCAACAATGCGCGGATCGGATTTCCATCAGCGCATCTCGTATTCTGCCGATATTCAATTGTCTTGGACGACTTAGCTTCAAGCGGAGAGTGAAAGCTGCTAACGTGAACCCTGTCCCATCACACCGAGAAGGCCACCCCATCTCGGGACTTTCAGCGTTCGGGCTGAACCCTCAGCCTGATGTTGCTTATTACCCCAGACTTTTTCCAACGCCCCGGCATCCGAGACAAATGAAACCATCTTCTTCGGCAGTGAGGCGCGGCAGTAAGAAGCGGCAATGGGGGTTTGTCCAGCGTCAAGTGCTAGACGTGCTGTCAAACTAGCGATGGTGTGCCGTTGCTAACTAGATGCGGCATAGAGATCGCTTGAAGAAACACAGTCTCTACGATCCCCCGTTTGGAGGTTCAAAATCCAAGTAGTGCACCTGTTCCTGGTTGGTTCGGGTGGTTTTTGGTATGGTTGCTCAACTGAGTTTTGGCAGTGATCACGCGAGCGCTCTTTGCTTGCCACTGATTTGGCTGGAATCCAAAAGCATGGCCACTGCTGGGATGATATTCCAAAGGTGAGAGATTTCGGATGGAGGTTTGTGACCATGATGGTGGCGACTAAAAAAAGACTTGCTTGGGTGCAGTCGTTGCAGGTATGATCTTGACTTTCCAACATCTCCCAACACAAATGGGATCGAGATCTCATGGCATGAGTGACCATTGATGAGAAGCTTGTAGATTTGTTTGATGCCCGAAGGACGATTCGAAAACTAGCATGCTGTATCTGAGATGCACCGCAAGCCTCCATGCGGCAGATGCCGTTTCTCTCTCCTGACTGTGGAGCAAAGCTCCGGGATAAGTCCGCATCACCGGTCCCCACCCGGCATGACGTCCGCAATTTCTTCCGGGTTCAACGGCATGGTATATGAGAACAGACTGAAGCATCACAACAAATAATACCGACATTAACACTCGGTATATGGAGATGTTCCTCTTGTCGTCTCGAGGTTGACGAGCATTGAGATAACAAGAGGGAATCTCTACTCATTGCAAAGACTTATGCGCTGTACAGAATTGATTTTGTTCCTGGGTGTTGCGCTTGCGGCTCAATTGGTATTCAGACACGAAAATACCCAAAGTCGAATCTTGTACAGTTTCACTGCGAATCATTCATTCTGTATCAAATTTATCGAAGCCATTATAAATGACTTTGGCTCAGCTGTCGGCCATCTTCGCTGCCTTGCACATTCTTAACGAACCAAAACGGCGTGAAGGAGCCCTTGTCTCTCTGTAAGCCGAACACGTCTTTCTGATATTTGATGTATAAATCTAGTTGCTACCGGCCAAGCAGTCACGCAAAGTGAAAGCTTTCTCTTGCCCATTTCGACACACTGGTACATTGAGCTGAACTTTGGACAGTCGAGATGTGTGATAGACGTATCTTACTTCCCACTCACGGCATCGCGCCTATCGTGGTGGAGCTGGCTCCTCACACGCTCTTCATGGTATTGTACTCCGTGTACCATTCCCCGTAAGCCGGTTTAGAAGGTCTTACATTCCAGTTGAAGCTTCATGGATTACTCAGACCTCCATCATTTGATTCTGCGGCAATGTGCGTACAAATTACCGAGAGGCCACCAAACCTCAAAGTTCGCGGCCGAACCAATTTCGTAGGCGGCTCATGTGGTCTCTCCCGCAATGCCGGCGACGCCGGCAGCTCTTTAAGCGAGGCAGGGCAGGCTGGAGCCGGTGAGCAGGTGACTGAGCTCGGGACCCAGGCCTGGCCATCGCCGAAAGCTTGGGCCTGGTGCCAAAAGCTACGTCACCGGCCGAACCAGCTATCGCCGATGCTGTCTGCTATAGCCTATAGCCCAAGGTATTCCGGAGATCAAGATTGAGTTCCCCGGCTAAGATGCTGTTTGCAATGGAGTCAACCTCTACCAAACTCCAATTACGGCATTCAAGATGTGAGCAACATGGCAGATGGTCCATTGAGTCGAGGGCATTGCTTAGTTTCCCCCTCGTGAGAAAGTCACAGCTCCCAGCCAGCAATGCCGAAGCCACCTTGAAGCGATATGCACCTCGGCACCTGACGCGGGCAAGCTCTAATGCGCGGTGCCAGCTGCCAGCGCCCAGGCCGCCGATCCATGGTGCCCTCGTGACGGTCAACGCCCAGGCAGGCAGTCAAGGGCAAGGGGCAGGGGAGATGGGCCAGAGAGACAGAGGCATGGCTTCAGAAGTTCAGTCTGGGGGAGGGGGTGAGAAGTGAGTAGCCGCGGAACCTACAACCCTGAAGTGAGCCACGCGACATGTGCCCGTCAGGCCTTTGACAATCCTGCTAAACGTTGATCCTGTCGTGAAGTGTTCGTAGGCAGGTTACACCGTTACAGGCTTACCCGTACTCCGTACAGCATGTCTTTCAACCGTGCCAGCGCGTGCTTTCGGGGCATCGATAGGGTGACATTCCTAACGAGCATCTCACGCCACAAAATAGCAGGCCATTTGCCAATGCTGCGCCGCGCTCGTCGATGAAGCAGAGTTTAGAGAGATCTCTCTGGTTCCTCAAAATCCCAATGTCACTTCGCAATCGCAGTCGGCTCCGCGCCGTGTCTTACTCTTAGTGTCTTTCCCAGTGCTCCCCCCCGACCGATGGCAATATCCGACATTGAAAGACATGAAACCTCCCCTCTTTCCATCCCATATTGGAGATCTAGGGGGCGGCCAGCCTCGCCATACAGAGTTTACAGGCCTCGTCACTTGACCGGTTCCCTTTCGCCGAAAACGACCTTTGGCCCGTCCACTATCCAGTCTCCTCTCCCTCCACGGGGGAGGACAGAATAGCCAAGGATGGTGAGTCTGGGGGAAGGGAAGACGGGGAAGAGAGAGGGGGGGGGACACGCTGCTACGCTGCTCCAGGCTTCAGGCAACAAGTCTTCGCCCGGCCGGCTGGGGCAGGTCGATGCGGCGCTCGACCACAGAGAAAACGGCGCCCTAGGGGTATGTATGGATGGAATCATGGATGGCAGCGACGTCTGGTGTGTTGAACGTTTGAGTACCTAGCAAAAGAAAGTGGCGTGGACGCAGCAGCAACGCTTTGATGGCCGCGGAACCCTTCTCTGTCAAAGCAGAACGTCGCTGGGCCTCCGGATGACAATCCGAACTGGTGTGTGTCTGCCCGTGGGCGGATTCTCGCAGCCTTTCCGACCACTTACCAGAGTCATGAGGGTGTATTCCAGGCGGTCTAGCACTACACTGTCGCCACGTCTGTTTGGTTTTCAGTCTGATCTCTCTGATCTCGGGGCCCCGGGGAACGGCGGGTCGACTTCCAGGTCCCGTCCCTTTTCTGACCATTTTCCGCATATCTGTACGGATTGTGGCCTTGCGTCTGGATGTACGTATTCGACGCTTTACACTTTATTTCTTTTCTTTTCTTGTCCTCGAATTGTTGTATCTTCATCCGTTTTCATGTTCGCCCTCCGTTATCTTGGCATCGATGCCGGCAACGTCACTCTCCAAAGTTGCGGTTTCCGTTCCCCTGGCAGAATTCCGGTAGTTCGGTCCACATACTCAGTCATGTCGCGCCGCAGGGTGACACAACATTCTTCTCCCTCCATACGCGCGCCTGTGGTGGAATCCCGCCATTTGCTGCAGGTAATACCGACGCCTTTAATGTCATCACATCGAGGCCTCAAATCCACGATGCCATCAATGACTCCTAATCAAGTACCGCGAAACGAAGCAACAAGCAAGAAAAACGGATAACAGACGGAAGAGTTACGAGTCAAGAAACGGTCCGTCCTCGCGACCGTGCGAGCAGACGGAAATCAGAATAATATTTAATATTTGATAAAATAAAAATACATTGGAGATTTTCTCCAAAATTCCAAAATATTCCAACTGCGTTTCCAGAACACCGCGCACGTCCTCTCTCATTTCAACAAGGGATCGGCCTGTCACAGAAACCTCTTCCCTCCCCTCCCAGAGAGAGCCAATCTCCCTGCCACGTTTTTTTATTTTCTCCCCTTCTGAGCGCGCTCTCGACTCAAGCGGAGAATCTCCGCAGTAGAGACAGAGAGACCAGAGACAAGGCCGAAAACCCCCCATCCTCCTTGTTTGACGGCCCCAGCATCGTGGTAGCGACCACCCGGGTACGGAACCGCGTCCCGGAGCCAGGCTCATCCCAGTCCTTCATTGCGAGCCAGCTCCATGACTCGCAGATTGCCGGTCGACTAAAGACTTGCACTTCGAAAGCCCCCCCTCGTGAACCAGATAATGACGGAACCTTGATCTCCCATTGGGGAAGTCAGTACCGGCCGGCCCTTCTTTTGTAACCTCTATTGAACTACATGTACGTAAAGGTATCGTCGATGTAGGTTGCAAATGGTCTTTTGGTGGTTGCGCTCAGATGGGAATAAGGCATACCATACGATACAGGGCCACAGTCTATGAGTCGGCCGGAAGTTTGGAACGACCCTGGAAGAACTTACCCATCTGTCTCCGTCCATTGCCACACGATGACGGGCTCCCTACGGGTGAGGCGATTCAGATTGCAGGTAGCCCATGGCCCAGAGCAGAGCAGGCCTGGAAGGCATATCGAAGGAACGTGCACCGACGACGCACTGAAGAATTGAAGACCACGAACATGACTCTCTCCCCTCGCGTCTTACACTCAAAAAAACTTCGGGGGCCAGAAGACTTGCGCGGCCCGCTGTGGTCGCCCAGGGAAGGGGGTGCCAGATTTTGGGACGATCGTAGGGGGCCCTTTATGGAGTATGGAGACGGGCTTGGGCTTTTTACTCAAACCGTGCCTAGTGCGTAAGGCCTCGCCGAGATGCGAGACATGGGGCCTTTTATTCACTGTGAAGTTCACGATGTTTTTCGATTCGATGAACTGTGGGGGGGATTCGCAGAGATTTTGGTTCCCTACGAATGGATACCTTACTGATAGTGGAGTTTTCAAGTTGGAGGACAGGTCGAAATAGCACGAACATGTCGGATCCGTACCTTGCATGGAAACTACGGCGTTATGACGGCAAAATTAGGCACCTTCCGAGACCTCCGTATGTCGCGTGGGTTCATGTTCCTTTCGGAGCCTCTCCGATACCATGGGGTTTGACTGACCACACGCGGCTCTCGAATTTGTCACCAATGCACCACCAAGGAAAATTCTTCGAGTCGGGCGGCTGCCGCTTCCCGTTCGGAATATGAGCGTGAACTTTTTGAAGTGCGGATGCCTGAGTTTGCATCGGGATTCGGGAGTAGCATTAAGGCTACATCATCAAATCCACGCCACTTCCGTGTACACCAACAGCATCTAGACCGCGCTGCCTAGGTATCCTACAATTCCTAGCAGCCTCGCCTGATGCTACAGGTCGGAGAAAGGGTCGGTAGCACTGCGGCTCCTTTGCGGGCTAGAAAAACGGCACATGGCACATGGCACAACTTGTCCAGGCTCATGGTTCGCCCAAATCCTAGTGCATTTACGACTACAATATGGGGGATGCGCTTGGGGTTGACCGTCCCGGTCACGAGTTTACGCCGTGTGGATGAGGTGAAGAAAGATTTCGGCCGATTTCCCAGCGAGAACGGGGGTTGGGCTGGACTCTGGCGACGAGTGTTGTTGGGCAGTCCTTGTTTGACTGACTCCCTTTTCCTTCTAAGAACCTGGGAATTCTTTTCTGGAGCACGGATTGAAGACAGGGGATGCTATTCATCGGTCGTCGAAAATGGTAGGGGGAGAGGGGTGTGACCGTTCTTCTTTGCGGAGAGGAAGGGTGATAACGGTTTTGGGTTCTTTGAAAGGGCACACTTGTCAGCCTCAAAAATCAATACAAATGTAATACGGATCCATACGAGCAGATCGTACGGATACAGCAACCACATGATATGGCTGCGACCCTCCCAGGACCGGCAGGCAGTTCTGATCCTTGAACACTTTGCCAAACTTTGGTCAAGCATGGCATGGCAATGGCATGGCCCCCCGCCCCCCCCTCTTCCCCGTATCCGTTGCTGTGGTAGAAGCGAGTTGCCATGCCTATCTTCAGCGGCTCTTGCAAGTGTTTTGTGGGGTAACTCTACATAGGTGTCGGGTCATAGCCGCCATCCCGAGGGAATTCGTCGGGTCATTTACTGCTTCGCATAGGACATTTCCAGGCTAAAGACTGACGGCTCTTGGGATAATTTCCGGAACGAGAGGGAATAATCAAACTATGGTAAAAGTCACCCCAAGGGCGTTCCAAGCTAAGGCAGGAAATGGAAGTATCAACTTGCTCAGTTGATAGTATTCAGTTGTTGGGATCCAATGACAGCACTTAGGAAAGCGCACCACAAGCAAGACGGCAGAGCCTCAGCCATCAAAAATCATCACGTGTGAAAAAAAATAAAATAGAACAGAAACTAGGGAAGCTGGAGCCACCGGTCCAGACCAACCCCTCGCCGCATGAAGCACCTCCTCCTTGTCGAACGCGTACCTGCATGCGCATGACGAAAGTCGCGCGATACAAAAAAAGGGCGGGGGGCGGAGGTGGAGGAGGGGGGACTCTGCAGTGGAGTCATGTTTTCCGTCGTCCCAAGTTGAAAGCATCACAGGATATACGTAAGACCCGGGGAAATACGGGTTGCTAGCAGCGCATAGAGTTGGGGAAAGAGATGGAGGGAGGGGATTCGCCGAGTCACCAACCACTTTGATATCAATCCCAACTTATCCCAGCCGAGAGTTCGTCAATGTATGGCTCGTAGAAATCTCGCATTAATGGATTCGGATGAGAGACCCGGCTTGGATGAGGGTAAAATCGTGATTTGAAGGAAGACTGAGAGGCAGGGGAGGAACTTTGAACGATGTCATGGGGATCCCCGAAGAAATGCTGTGTATTCGGGACGGACTTGACCTTATTCTTGTTCGTACGGATACGTCTCTTCACTGTTATAGAGGCTGCAGAGGACCCTGCGGGCTTCTGGTCGCTGATTCATGGCACAGGAAGCTTGGGGCAACTTCACATGTCGAAAACTCACAGCTTCCTCTGCTTTCACGTTCCTTACTGCACAACTTGCGACGTTGGTTGTTTGTCTCGGAGTCAGGAAAGGCATTTCACATGCAATTGCTTGACACGGACAAGCCAATTCGATGACGGCATTATTAGGCGATATAACCTTGGGGATATTGATGGAGCGGGTTTTGGACTCTCGACTCAAGATGAGAAATTGCCGGAAGAAGACTCTAGCGACACGGAGCAAGTTTGGGGTGGATGCTTCATATCGCGACATGGCCGGCTTGAGTCGCGTAGATAAAGGGCGTGTGTTCATAGGGTGATTGATGAATCTGGGGTATGGGGAAGAAACCCGGGGCAAATGGTATACGCACAAGGACGACTTCGTAGCACGGTTACACGAGTATAGAAATGACTTGTCGATACCTTACGACAGAGGTCAGACAAGCTAACGATAGCGAAAAGCCAAAGTATACAACGTGAGACGGGCCGCGGAGTCATTTGGACCCTTTCACCATCACCGCCAGTAAGAGAAGCAACGATGATACCGTCGAATGGTCCCCACCAAGTCAACAAGACACATGGTCACGTCTGGGTGGCAAACCATGAATCCGGGGAGATGTATCCGGTCAACATGCCTGAGCCGCACGGCATAGCGGCCAGAACGTCCGTCACCCGCGCCGTCGCATACAAGACACCCACGATGTTCTAGACAGTTCGCGCCCCTCAGGAGTGGGAGGGTAGCCACGACGCGGTTCTCGGAGAGGCTGCCGACGCGAGCGGGAGTGCGAACCATCAACCAATCCTACATGCGCCGGAATCCCGGGGCAGCCACCCCGAGGATTTGGTGATGCGCCGGGAGAATGTCAGGGCGTCACACCGACCCTGCCTTTTGGGGGGGTTGCTGTTTGTCTTCCTTCGCCCAAATGAAGTACCTAGACAAACGTCGGGCTCGCGTAGCTTGGGAAAGTATGTGGTGATGATATTAAATTTCATTCGCCGTCAGGCGTTCGCGCTATCGTAGCTCTTGTGACTGGTGCCACTTCTACACTAGGGGAAGAACTTCCCGGTGGTAAGGCGGACTAGTCGTGCAATTTAGGCCTGATTCAAGTCTTTTCATTCATCTTGATCTTCGTGGCATGGTGTTAAAGAGTTCCTGCTAATGTGAATCAAATTGGTCATGTAATGAGGATTACTAGCTAGAGGAAACACGGGAAAAGTGCCCCGGAGAGCTGTTGGAAGCTAAGAGACGAGCTATCAGATCTCTATTGCCTCCACGGGCGAGCTTCCGAACAGACGGCGCCGACAACTTCAAAATGCAAGTCCACGAACTGGAACGCCTCATTTCGAGTAGTGATGACGGGCGTTGAGAGCCCGTTGCTTCAGGGAGAGACATGCCACACAAAGGGACGGTTTCCGAGTTCAAAACGTTTCTGTGAAGTGAAGATCGACTTGAGAACACGTTGAAGCCTTGTTGGCCGAAATGGGGTCACTTCGCTATATCCGCCCCTTGCTCACCGGTGAGCGGTAGTATCATTCATCACATGTTTATGGGAAAAGCAGCTTGCCAAAGTCCCCAAGTCCCCGGCCCTGTCCAATTCCATTGACTTAGGACTTCCCCGCAGAATCTCACATCCAGCCGAGCCGTTCCTGTCACGCAAGTTTCCTCACCCCATATCGAACTTACGCGGCGCGTCCTGCAGTTCTTTTCCTTGCCTACAAGGGCACCATGGATGGTCACAAGGGGTGCGCACTGCAGAAGGATCCAGGGTATCACATCTGATCTGATCATCTTTCTCCTCCCCTCCCCTTCCCCCCGTGAGCGTTGGAAGGGGAGAGGAAAATATGCCCAAACAGAGAAGCACGGACCCGAACTCCGGAAGCGGCATTAGCGCGCAGCGTAGGTAGATCCAGCGGGTTGGGTTCTCCGGGGAACGTCGTCCCGGTGGCCCCCGGCGAGCCGGTGAACCTTACCCCGGGGAGAGTACGCGACTCTGATTCGTGGGCTTTTCTTTGAACGATGTGATGGAGGGGGAAGGGCCCACGGAAGGGGAAAGGGTGCTTTTGGCTTTCTGTTTCTTTTCGCATGGTGACTAGGTACGGAAGATGGCTTTTCTCAATCTTCTCTCGTGATGTCTCCTCGCTTTTTGTCCCCGACGTGAGACAAGGGGGTTCTCAACAGGATGGGGTTTTTGATGCAAGGTAGAGAAGAACTAATTTGGCTGGTGCGGATGGGCGGGCGTGGAGACGATGGTGGCGTTGAGATGTTCTTCAAGAGGGTGTATTGGATCGGTAAGATACTTGGCTGAGCTGGGGTAAGAAAATCAGAAAATCGGAATATTGCAATATTTTGATATTTCTTTCTAGTAGACAAAGACTTATCCTATGTTATTTCTTATTATTTTATCATTTTCTCTTCTGAACCCTGGTACACCTGAGATATCAGTAATATTCCATTTCCCTTCCTCTTCCCCCCAGCAAATCCGTCACAAGTCACTCCTCAGCCCCCTCTCTCAAACAAGATGTGATGGTGGTAAGAAGCGCTTACCTCCCTCAACCAACCGCGACACCATTCACAACTTTTAGCCCCTCCATTCGTTGTGCCATTTTACCCCAATCACAGCTCGAAGATCAACCCTCATGTGACGGATTGGAATAATAATAACGTCCAATCGCGAGGCAGACAAATCGAGAAAATTCCCATCACATCTTTTACCCAGCCACACATACGTACACAAACACACAGCCGCCCATCTCCTTTGCACAACTCAAATGTGCACAACGAATGTTATCCGCCCGTGTGCCGCCCGAGGGGTATCGGATCGGCGCTTGCGTGGGGTTTCCGGAGGGGCGGGCGGCAGTTGAGATATCATCACCGTTGCGTTTTATGGTCATGAGGGTGTGCGGGAGCCGCCTTGATGTCTGATGGGGGGTTGTTGGCGTTTGAGGATTTGGGTTTATTGATGGATTCATCTTCATACTAGCGGGGCCTATGAATGGCCATGGATTCAAGTATCTAGAAGTCTAAACCATTGAAGCGCGGCTCCAGGTATCGCAAAGTGAACTAGGGCTGCACCCAAGTACCTGCCCTTTGTGATGACAACAGAGGGAGGCCTCTACTGAGCAGGAAACCAAAGTACTTGATTTACGGGAACAGATAGATGACTCTAGATTGTAGAGGAAAAAGGCAAAAAAACAACAGGAGCCGACTGGACCGAGGTTCGGACGCCGGAGTCTTGAAGAGTGTAGAGCATCATACACTAGTCGTCACCTCGCGGCTTTCACCCCTCGGTCACTAGGCCTGATATTTGTTGTTAGGGAAGAAATGCACCGGACTTCTCGTATGGCCTACGATTGCCAATACTGCAAAGCTTATTCAGTGATGGAAAGTGCGTATTCCTACTAGGTAGCTGAATCATTCCATCACAACCATCACCACAAATCCTCCACCTCAGTCCTTCTTCGCAGCAGCAGCCGCACCACCACCAACCCTCTTAAACTTCCTCGGGTCCTTACGACTCATCAACTTGCGGTCCCGCGTACCCTTCCCGCCCTCCCAGAACCCCTTGCCCTTGCGTCCGATAACACTCCGGCCGCAGAACCCGCACGCCTCGGGCGAATACCGCTGCTCGCGACTGCACCATCCGCAGACCATCCGGTTGGCCCACTCGTTGACGTGGTTCTCCGCCTCGTCGTGGCAGCGGTCACACGGGTGCACTTTCGCGCAGCACGAGAACCGGAACCAGCGGTAACTCTTGCGGTAGTGCGCGCAGGCGCCGCGGTCCGGGAGCGGGGTGCCCGCGTGGAGACCGAGTTTCTCGGCCTTCTTGATGGGTCCCGTCGTCGGGGCCGCGAGGCCGCCGGTAGAAATTGCCAAGAACTTGACGGTGGGGATCTTGAATGTGAATTTGCCGTGGCAGGCGCGGCAGACGTTCGTGACGGCGTCGCCGCGGACGGCGACGAGGCCCTGGCTTGCGGTGGAGCACTTTGCGCAGACGGGGATGAAGGTGCTGGGGAGCATGTCGGAGACGGTGCAGCCCGTGAGGTCGACGAAGCCGGCGCGCGTCGAGTTTGCGTGGACGAGGGTCTGGCGGAATTGCGCTGCCAGACCGGCGGCGCATTTACGGCAGGTTGATGTCTGGGCGACCTCGTGCTTGAGGCCGGTGATTTCGTTGATGGTCTTGCAGCGCGAGCACTTTACGCTGAGGTTGAGGATGGAGACTTGGAAGAGCTCGATGCTGTGGAGCTCAATGGTGGGGAAGGAGATGGATGTGCCCCTTTCCGGGGTGAGGCCGGAGGAGAGGCTGGGTGGTTCGGCGTCGAGGTCGGCGCCGCCTTCGTCCAAGTCGTCTTCTGAGTCGTAGCCGTCTGATGAATCAGTGTTGTCGTCGTCGGCGCCGGAACGGCCCCATTCCGGCGGCCGCGGGATGACTTTGATGTGGCCGCGGTCATCGTCGTCCATGGCCTGTGTCTTTGCCTTGGGATCCTTTTCAGGTTCCTGCGTTGACACGGCCTGTGTGGCAACAGCAGCAGGCTTGGGCGGCGCCGCTGCCTGCTTTGCTAGAACGTGCATGTTCTGAGCCAAGTAGTTCAGGTGGCTCGTGAGAGTCATCTGCTTTTGTTCCGCTGCCTTGTGTACGTAGAGCTCCTCCAAGGGCTCGGCGTCTTGCGATTCACACTCGTTGAGCTGGATACGCAGCGGTTGCAGCGGGTATAGCAGCGGCACGATGAGATGGACGGTCTTGACGCCTTGCAATCCGGGAGATAGCTCAGCGCGGCGACGAGGCTCGAGAGGGAGCGTGTAGACGATACCATCCGGTGAGCGGCGGTACAAAGACAGGCGTCCCATGCGTGTCTCCAACTGCCGCGTCTCCTGCGCGCGCCGAGCTTTGGCAGCCGCCATATCCTCCTTGGTGAAGTACTCTTCAGGAGTGTAGTGCCTCACAGGCGGAGCCGGTGCCGAGGATGCTGTCTTGGTGATCTGCGTCGCCGGGCCCGGGATCGCCGCGATGGCGGCGGCTTCGAGGTGGCGGGTATCCTTCACGCCCTCATCCTTGTAGGTGACCAACTTCACGGTAGCCACCTCCTGCTCCGACAAGAACTTTTCCAGGTTCTTGTCCAGGGCATACGTGAGGGCGAGGAGCGTGGCGCCCCTTCGTTCCTCGACGAGCCTCTCCCACCCCCGCTCAATGTTGATGCAGAAACCGCGCGGAATATCGCTATTCCGCACGTGCAAGACGGGAGTTGCATCGGGGTAGTCCTCCGGCACGCGGAGGTCGCACTGCAAGTGCTCCAACTCAAAGGGAAAGTCCGGGTCCGAGGGCTTGATGCGGAAGACCAGGGATGTGGTGGTGCCGTCGGCGGCGGTGGATTCGCGGGGCGAGTAGCGCTTGCGCAGCTGCTCGAGCTGGTAGCCGCGGGGATCCTTGGACTGGGCCTCCGGGACGGGTTTGGGGACAACGCGGTCGGTGCGGGGCCTGGGGACGGCCTGCTGGTGCGTGTTGCCGCCTTGATTTGTGAGAGAAATCATGTTTGGGCGTGGTGTGTGTGTGTGGAATGGGAAATGTTGCTCAACGTTGAAAATTGTGGATGAGCTGAACGGGATGAAATGCACAAAGAACAGGGAGAAAGAGTGAGCTGCGGGTGGAGCAGTGCTTGTCCGTCTCTTGATGAGCTACCTTAGCTGGCAAAGGCGAGTATTGGAGGTTGCTGTGGGAGAGAGGTTGTTCGAGATGGTCTCGAGGCGAAGAGGCTGTATTTGACGATTCTGCTTGAAGTCGGGTGGCGATGATTGACGATGAGGTGGGTTTGGCCCCGGACCGGATGTAGTGGAATCTCCGAGTCGCTTCCCAACCCGCAGGCACGAACTGACAGGGTGCCGAGACTTTCAGCGGCGTTGCGTTGCGGTTACTTAGTCGACGTGAGTCATAATGGGGCACGAACATCTCTGCGCTAGCAGATCTCGGCTTTGATACCATATCAATCTGTTAGTACACGGCCATCCATCGGCCGTCAGTCACCAATCAGATGCAGACTAGATGCATCGACGCCGGTCGACTCATCTTTTATAGTAGAAATCAGTCATACAACGGATACGCACGACTCAAATTACGGTTGCAGGCGCGCCAGAAACTTTTCCACATCGTAGCTAATGCATCTGTCGCACCTTGTAAGGGAAGGTAGGCATGGAGGCCTGGTTAATGGCATGCCCTCAAGGTCTGGCAACGCCGATAGCTTAAGTTAGGTGTATGCATAGTAGGCTTATTTTTCATGGCAGACGCAGATCAATTAGCTTGAATACAGAGCCTTGTAAGCTGAAAGAGAAGAAAGAAATGCTCTTGATCCCCTTGCGATGCATCTGGAGGAAATGTCACGCTCGATATAAGATATCCTAGCTTGCCTTGAAAATCATGTTTTGCAAGTGAATGGGGTTTCTAATAGAATTGAAATCCCATTCTGCTCGAAATAACAAAGCTAGCATGATTCAAGTGGTGCTCGTCAGCGCGGACAGATATCGACTACGGGTTGGCCGATACTTTTGACCACCGAATTCCCCGTCGACCGGAGTAAAGTGGATGCAGTTCGGTCCCGGGTGCCGTCCGAAAAAGCGGAGAGGTGGACCCAGCTAGCACCGGGACACTTATACGGCTCAAACTGCCGCATGACTAACAAATAATTATGTAGGATGGTCACGCAAAAATGTTCAGTCAAAATGTCACATCAATTTCACCGTGGCTGTCTGTCTAGAAAAAAAGGCACTCTACGCAAGTACCCATTCTGTGTACCCCATGCAAGTTGCCACGTTTTGTGGTGGGCAGACGAGGCGGTGACGGTCCCATGAGAGGCGTTGGAAACGGCGGAGGTAAACGAAGTGGACCATTTGAATGATATTGGTACAGCGATGCGTTATAGTCTACTCAGTATCTTTTGAAATAACTAAATATTCGAAAAGAAAATCGACGGGAATCAGGTCCGCTTGCACCAGTTCAGGTGTCAATTTTAAGCAATTCTGGGCATCATCGTCAGCGTTCGTGATCAGAATGATCAAAGTATAAATGAACAAAGCCAACACCCGTGGTAAACTTGCTGGCAGAAAAATGACAGCTGCACAGGAGGGATGACACACTGCATGACAATCAGATATGCGTGAGCTGGCGTGTCTCAACAACGTGATGCCCAGCACAAACACCTCCCGGCCAAGTGTCAGAAGAACGGAGGGGGCGGTAAAGAGAAGAATGTCACCGAGAAAAAGCCACCCGCGGGGAAACCGACGAACAGGGTGCTCAATCGCTGCCCAACAAGACGCAGGAACATTGAGTCCTGCTTCTTGGTATGTCACAGGGGGAGGGCATTTGGATTTTTGAGGTATTTGGGGGCATTTTGTAACGGTGACATTGGCCCTTTTCGCGAACGTGACAGAGCTGTGTCCGGCTCCAAGCCACACCGACAATCCGGCAGCGGGCGCGGCGATTTGCCGCCTCACCTGGCCTCGCATCTTGTTCCGCATATGCGGGCACCGAATGACCCCCCGGTATGGGAGTGCCGCCGCCGCTGCTGCTGCTGTTGTAATCCTCGCCAGGAAATGTGGAGGGTTCAGGCATGAGGGGGTATCAGCAGCCCTCCGTATCACTGCTGCCTTTGGGCGGCAAAACGATGCATCTAGAATCGGGACGATCGCGGTTGCTGCATTGAATGAGGGGAGGGAAGAGGGGGAATAGTTGCACGTCTGGCTGACATTGCTGGAGGCACGGCAGACGCCACCGTAACCGCATCGCACAACGGTGGAGTTGATCTCGAAAACGTGGGAGGTGTATCCGTACCGTAGATGGGACGTCCAAGAACGGTAGGCTATCGGTCTGGCCGAGGCGAAAGAGAAATTGGTCCCCAGAGATGCCATCAACCTACCAGCAATTGTGGTGTGAAACACTGCGGTTTGGGCGGGCGTGCATTTCGTATCGATAAAAGAGGCCGAACGCCAGTTGGCCCGGGGAAGTGCGACGGATGCAGCAATGCGGCGGTTGCATGTAAGGCGCAGAAGCTTGGTGAGCTTTCAAAGGGACATGAAATAAAAGTAGCGAAACGTTGTAAGGTTGGAGACGGGCGAGTGGATGAGACGCGACCGCTCTCTAAACGGCGGCACCCGTGATGACGGGACGGGCGGCGTTTGACAGGCTGTCAAGGACGTGTTGCGGTTTCTGGCAACTCGGTCAAGAGAGAAATCTGATCCTCTGCATCTTGTGTTTGTCATTCCCGTGCTCAGTGCTCACCTTGTCCTGGCAGCAGGCCGGCGCGGCGGGAAGGCATGGGAGAGGATTCGCCGGGAGATGCAGCGGGTGGTGGTGTAGTGCCCGACCAGAAATGCAGCCCGCCCGCCACCATCATCAATCGTGTTGAGGATTTTGTACCAAACTGCAAGGTATTCAATTAGATGCGGTACGGTACGTACGGGGGCGCCTCGGGAAGGCTGCGTGCGTGGGATGTGACAGCTGTTCCCTCATCTCGATGTCGATGAGATACGACGAAGACGGAGTCGAAGCTCGGGAGGCCAATTTGGGGGCAGCAGAGGCCCAGAGGCGGCGCGGCCTGCCTCATCAGCCGATTCACCGAGAAGATGTCAAGGCTTGTTTTCCTTCGGATGGTGGTGATGAGTTGATCTCTAGGGCCCTTTCTTGGATGACGATTCCGTGAGGTTGCTGCTGGTAAACATGGTAATCAGAGCCCTGGCACTGCGACTGCGACGCTGGGAAGTAAGGGAGAGATGCCAGCGCATCAGCAAGAGGACCTGGTGACCATGGTGTATATGCAAGTCCAAGTCAGCCTCCCGAGCGGTGAGGGGACAGGTGTTAGGAGCCCAGGCCTGGGATTCGTATGGGGGTGTGAAGGAGAAAAAGGTGAAAGGTGAAGAAGGGTGGGATGGAGGAACGAAGCGCTGGCGGATTAGCACTCCTTTTGGGGTGAGGCTACGGTGGCGGACCGTCGGCGCTACCATTTTAGCAACTGTGCCTGTCGTTGGTCCCGTCACCGTCATCTGGGGAAAACGGTGGGGCTCAGTACAAGATGGTGTCAAGAAGTAGTGTGTGTGGGTGTGTGAGTTGGTGACATGCCATTAACTGAGCTGAAGATAATCAAGATCTTTGTTTGACTTTTTATTTTCTGCTTATATATATTTATTGAAATTGTTCTAATTGTTTAATTCTTATTTTTCTAACAGCCCCCCGGTCATATGTCTTTGCTTGCATCAACCAGATCTGATGCGGCCCATCTCTGATTCCAAGATGTTGGGTAAATGTACGATGCACCTGGTTTGCAACCCTTACTGCCACACTCACTTTCACATTATCTTTTCCATGCCCATCGTTGCCCTCCCGGAACTCAAACGGTATTCTACATACTGCTAATCAATCTAATTGGAATATTCGGTTTCTGAATCATACCGGCAACGGTGAGCTTTGATAAGCTTTGGATGCAGGTCAAGGCCCGGTCAATGGCAGTCTTACTTGTAGTCTGCCCTTCCACATCCAGGGTCTGGTTCGCGAGCGAGCCAGTCTCCCCAACGTGCCGCCAAGTCTCAATGAATGCCGAGAAAAACAATAAATAAATAAGAATTAAACGAAAGTAAATGGAGCTTTTTGCCCAGTCCGTCAAGGCTCATGGCTACCAGGATGACGGATTGACACTTGTTGATGGCACCTCATGCAAGACAGTCCATGTGTTCATCACAGCTCCAACTGACTGGTTGGAATCCGTATTCCAAGTCACCCTCCAAGGATCCCAAAAGGGGTCTTTGTTGAACGTTTACTCGCAGGATGTGACTCAACATCAAAAAGGTTGCTAGAGGCAAAGAAGTTCAAAAGTCAAATACGGCAGTCGAATTGGGTCGAGTTAGGCTGTGTCTGATTCCAAAGGTAGCTTCTTTGCCCCTCCCCAAGTATCTTTACCCCCAAATACAGTTTGACATCCCCAATCGATGACTGTAGCTGATTGATGCCTGGTCTCACAACGAGGGAAAGTTCCATTGCATCTTTCGCAACCTCGATTCTGGGACCTTGGAGGATGCACCGCCTCGAGTCGCACTGCACCAGCCCCCCATGCGAAGTAACGGGGGAGTGGCTGATCCCCCGCTCCGTCAGATCCGGGAGGGATTGAGAGTCTGCCAATGGTCAAAACTATGGGCTGGGTGTGCAATGAGAAGTCCCGGACGTTGCGGTATTGCATCGTTTGGATTTCAGTGAGTGCCTCACATGGAAATTCAGCCATAGGCGAAAGAGCGCCAGCATGTGTCATCTCATCCCGTGCCTGAGGTGACTAACAGGCCGACAAACATGTGCGGCTTTGAACCTCGGGGAGCAAGCGCAGATTTCCGATGTCTCTCGCCGGATCTTAGCTTTGGATACTATCTTTTTATTAATATTATTTTAATAGTATTATTTGAAAACACCGGATGATAATTCATTGTTATTTTCAGCAAAGGATAATCGATCCTCTCTACCCGTGCGGACCTTCGTTTCTACACTTTGAATCCTTCCACACGGGCATTCTTCATCACCACCACCCACACCCAACACACCCCTCCTAGTATAGCTTGTTAGCACTTAGGTTGGCACCTTGTACGCCAGCGCAGCGCTTCCCGGAACCACATGGCCCAACTTCCGCGGGAGCTAACTTTCAAACGCGCCAACCACGCAGAACCCTGTGCTCTTTGCGCTCTCACCTGACTGAAGGACTGACATCACCGCCGATGGTCTACCCGCCATCCGCCAAACGCTCTCTCATTGCTTGCCAACGTCTGAGCCGCCGAGGCATCTTTCTGTCCCCCATTTTCACTGTTGTTTATCCCCCGCCGCCGCGGCTGCTCGATTTCAGTCTTGAACAGAGAGACAGGTTCGTGGCGCTGAGACAGCCCGCCAACCCGACAGCGCGCGAGACCCAGGCGGCTTTTTATTGAAGGTTTGTTTCCCAAATGGGGCACATGCTCTTTCCGACGTAGACCCTTTGGGAGCACTCCCATCGAAACCAAAGCGTCGGCATCGTACCTGATTGACAAAATCGAGATAGTCGACCGCATGGCAGCGACGATCTCTGTCTTGTTCCTTTCGAACGGTTGGAGCTCCTGACTTGTTCGGGAATGCGGGTTGATGTCACTTCCGACCCGTGCCTCCGCTCCGCGGACCGAGCCACGGGTTGCGAATAGCTTCGTGACTTGCCTCGGCGCGCGCTCTCGCTCGGTGAGGGGCCATGACCTGTCCTCGGCAGCATATCTTGTGATGTATACGTGATATGGGAGTTCATATCGTACCATTTTCTGTCTTCGTTCTAGGAGCTGCTTGGGGTGTGCCGATAGCTCGGTGGAGGAAGAGACCCTTCAACGTTGTTGTCTTGTCTTTGTCTCAGTGTTGCCGTGCCAGCGGCGGCATCGACATCAGCGGCTTGCAACTGCACATGTCGAAGTTCTGCCAGCTAAGTTAAACAGGCAGCACGTGTTCAAGTGAATAATGGTCCATCTCCTTAACTTCGTGAAGAGCGATCATGGTCTTTTGCGTAGCCTGTTCGAAGGACAGCGGTCGTCAATAGTTACGTTCAACAGGCGTCGGTCAACAGACAAACTATGGTGGCTGGATCTGGGTGCAGTTGCATCCATCTACAAAGGATAGCCATCTGCCGAAAGGGATATTTGGCAGATGAGCAAGGCGATGGTCATCGAGGAACTACGAGACCCCCTCTCTTGTGTGTTCCTCGATGGTAAGGGCAGCGACTCGGAGCGCCGAGAGTCGATACACGTGACGACGGGTTCTTCGAAACATTCGTACAAGGTAGCCCAAGACGTGATCAAATGGGCCCCTTCATCCGATCAGGTAGCCTATTGAAGGTATCGCGAAGTCGTAATGATCGGTGTCTGGGTTTGTACGGCGGTGGCTTGAGTGCCTGGTAAATACCGTTTAGCTAGCGAGGTACCTGGAGGATACGTAACATCAGAAAAGGCCCGGAGATCTGACGTGACTTCCTTCATCTTCCTAGATGATTTCAATACGCGTAAAACAAGGGGGGGAGGGAAAGATAACGATGGGGAGGAACAAATAGTTGTGCTCCTTCCCCGACCGATTCCTTCCTCCAGAACACGGCACTCGCTCCTGCTCTGTATCGCAGCTACTGCCTGGCCCAGGGATGTCTCATAACTACCAGTGGATGTACCTCTTGCGGAGGAAAGAGCCAGTCTTCCGTTCTGGTAGCAAGGCAAAGGTCTTTCCACGAACTTCCATTGCCTGCTCGAAACCTCCACCCTTCTCCCTTCAAGCCCTTCGTCTTCTTCACATTTCCCCTTTCGATCATCGAGGCACTTCTGGTCGATGGGTTTGACGTCCGCTTCGTGCATGTCTTCTTAGATCTATGTTGTTGAAGAACTTTGCAAATTGAGGAAGAAGCAGGCAGGTATGATTCTCTACACCTCACTCAGCAGAAGACTGACACCTTCAAGGCACCAGATACGACTAGACTAGACTTCCACGATGCAAGACATGGCTGGCATTCTCAAGCCCATCAACGTTCCAAAGCGACCACTGACGCCAACTTCATCTGTTGCTATTTGTTCCCCGTTGAAGCGGTTGGCTGTCGATGCCCCTGTAGGAACGAGCATCTTCGACCATGGGAACCTAGTTCCAATGCCGTTCGAACACAGCTTTCTAGCTGAAGGCCACATACAGCAGTACCTCTCTGGGGACCTCATGCAGACTCCACAGACTCCACTGGGCCCGTCTAAAGACGCTATTGATATACCCAAGACGCCGCCGACACAAACTTTCTCGCATGTTTCTGTGGTAGAGTCTGAGGCACCAGACTGTTGGATGAAAAAAGACGTAAATCTAGACAAAGTAGGGGGCGAGGGGTTTGTACCGGTGGAAGAACTATCCGGTGAACACCACGATGCCGCATCCGAGGCTTTGTCTACTGTAGATGAAGATCCCGGTAAGCCGTTTCCTGAGCTTGACGTCGACCGCCTTGCCCAGCCGTCGTCCAGGAGTGAGGATATTGTCGAAGATGACTATGACCTCGAAGGATTTGATGAAGAGGAGTTAATTAAGCTGCTGGAAGATACGGAAGATAAGCCTCCTGGCCTCGCTCCCACAAGCGTCATACAGAAGACGGATTGCGATTCGAGATCGGCCTCAAGCTTCGACTCCAAGCTGCAGTTTTCGGAGACTGATACACGCACGAGCGCCATTTCTCCCAAGGCTGATCCGGCTGAACCTAATCTTCTTGACGAAGATGTCGACTGGGATCTTGTAACAGAATGCGCAGCAACTGCGGCTGATTCGTCTCCGAATCAAAAGTTTGGATCGAGTATTGAGAGTAATCCCAAGGAAGCACAGAAAGAGTGCCCAAGCCCGGCACCGTTCGTCAGACCCCCTTTTCCCGACAAAATGAGGGACCGCTCTGTGGTCGTTGGACTCTCTTCCGCGATGATGATGCGCACTTGCTTCAGAATCGGAGAGCTGCTCAATGCCCAAGCTAAATGTAGCCGAGAGAAACAGGACGTCTTCTTTGAGCTTTTCGCGAGGGTGATCTACTCCAGTCGGGAGAAAGTTGCCAGAGTGCAACACCTGCAGCTACGAGATCTTTTCACCGAACGTCAGCCGTTTTTGAGTGGCGTATTCAAAAGTTGGAAGAGTGGTGGTCCTGTAGATGACCAAAGCAAAGTATTCCTGGGACCCGACGGAAAGAACAAGTTGTGTCGATGTGTTTGCAAGGTGTCAGAAGATAAGAAAGCCACAATCGGTCGTTCAGCAACCATTCTGTCGATCAGAGAGACGACTTGGGACGAGGTTCAGTGGGCCATGAGAATCGTTGCGAGGGATACAACGTCGTACGACGACGTCGATACTGAGGTGAAGGAGTCTCTAGTCATCTGAGTGGCGCAGTTTGCTGATATGGAAGATTTTGGGGAGGAATGTTATGAGACCTTGCTTGATGTCGAAGAAGGAGCTGAGGACACATATCTATAGCTTTGAGTGACCAGGAAGAAAATTCATGGAAGAAGTCATCTAGAAGACAGGGTGCATGGTTCACAATGGAAGTTGCTCATATCATACCCTTCCCCGTCAAGTGTCCATGCTGAGATCAGCTTTCTGATTAGGGCAGCTAGACTAGCTACCGAACCACATCCCGTCACCATCACCACTTGTCCCTCCCTTGAGAAATTCCATCCAGGCGTCGTCGCCCATGACAACGTCGGCGGCCTCCAAGGGAGGTACGTTGGGCCACATCATGGAAAAGACGCTGTTAATCTGAGTCTGAGGGCTCTCATCTATGGGTTCAGGAGCCGAGGCTTGTGCAGTATTGGCCTCGTAGCTGGGAGACGTGGCAGAATCTGCCTGGGCCGCCGAGGCTGGGGCCACGGGTATCGCAACGTCACTACTGTCTAGAAACCGGCCGCAGAGATCGATGATGACTTGATAACAGCGAGATGAGCTGGAGTTCACGGGGGCGAGCGCGGCTATACAGCGTGTCGTGGTCGTGATTTGCTCCCGCCAGTCTCGTGCGTTGGGGGATGCTGGGTCATTGCGGAGGCATATACAGGGTATGAGAGCGGCTTGAAAAAGGAAGTATCTGAAGACAGTAGGTGAGTTGAGGAAACATAAGTAAGAGGGTACAGAGAGATTGAATCACTCACAAGGCATACCAGGCACCTAAACGATTATGCTCGTTCCGTTGCCAGAAGTCGCTTATGCTGGTGATTGTCGCCTTTGCTTCTGCCAGACACTTTTCAAAGGCGCGGACGTTATCCGGTGAGTCGTCGGGTCGCCGGTCGCGGGCCTGTAGGGCTCGACGGATGACGAAGGGGCGGTACATTATGATGCGGAGGTTTCTGTACCGCCAATTCATGACGGCGTGGGCGAGGGCGTACTTTGGCGGCACGCGGCTCGTGGAGGAGAAGTAGGACGAGACGCTTGCTAGCCAGGGCTCGAGGAGGTCATGGTCGAGGCGTAACATCTCGTCTGGGGAGGGGAGGGGCTTGGAGATTACCCTTGTGTAAACTGGTGTTGTGGCGATGTGGAAGCTTGCTTGTGTTCGGACGGCTGTGTAAGGGGTGATGCCGTCTGTTTCTGGGGGGTATGATTTTGAGATGGCGGTTAATGACTACGAGAGGGGTCAGTGAAAATTTACAAAAGTCCAAGTCTGCTGGAAAAGTGACCTTGTCGTCAACGTTTAATGGTAATGAGACCTCGACGCCTTCGTATGGCCAGACGGACGGCCTGCTGAACGTGATTGTTGCCCCGACATCGAATACGCACAGAGACCACCACACCCGCCGTCGAATCTCCATATTCAGAGGCGAGATATTCCACCCCTGGAACTCTTTATGCAGACCCAGCCCCATGGCCATGCGCACGGCCAGACCGAGGTAGTTGTACCCAGAATTCGGCTTGTCCCGCTTCTGCTGGTAATTGGAGATGAGGGTGAGCGCCTGGACGAGCGTCAGGTTGCCCACCTCGAGGAAGTTGAAGGACAGAATCGAGCGGGCCTGCGCAAAGAGCGAGGTGTCGAGGTTATCTAGGTTCGCGGCCGTGGTGTAGACGCCGATGGCGGCGACGGTGTAGGCCAGGACGAGCCAGCAGTCGCCGCTGGGGCGGGGGATGACGCCGGCGTACTGCGCTCTGAAGGTGGCCTCGTGGATGATGGGGTAGCTTACGTGGTAGAGGCGGAAGTAGGCGTCGATCATTGCGTCTGTGATGTGTCTGTTGGGATCTGGCTGCTGCGTGATGATGGGTGGGCTGATGATGTGTTGGTGGTGGTGAGCCATTGTCCCTCCTCCTCCTGGTCTTGAGGAGGAGGATTGGGTTCTTCGTCTTGGTGTTGATGGTTCTAGGAGCCGTAGGAGGGCTGCGCCGGAGGCGACGCCGAGGTAGCCTGATTCTCTTTCGCTGACGGCTAGCGAGGCCATGCCGTCTGCGATTGGGTCTGCAATTACTTCTCCGTTCAAGTCGGCTTCGAGAATGGCTTCGGGGGACGCCGAGTAGTTTGTTAGGGTCTCTTGTTCGTCCCATTCGAAGTCGTCTGTGGGGTGAGCCTCGAGGAGGTTGAGGTCTCTGTGGGATGTGTCATTATAATGTTTGTGTTGAGTAGTTCTTGGAGCCCGTGGGGGATCGGGCCTCATGTTGGAGGATGGTGGGACTAAAGACGGGACATGGTTTTGGGGTGCCGGTGATGATTGGGATGGTTGTGATGGTTCAGGATAGACGGCTTCACATTGTGGAAGTGGATCGGGCCCTACGGCTGCGAGGCCCGGAAGGGAAGACGGAAGGGGAGCCGGATCCGACGGAGCCGGTGTATCCAGCTTTGAGAAGTCAAAGGACTCTTCATCACCTCTCGGCGCCAGGGTTTCCAGGTTTCTCGGGCTATTTAGTACGGATCCTGATCTCAGCTGGGCCGGCATCAATGCTCTCATCTGTGTGATAATCGCTTCGGCCCGCTCCAACCTCTCTTCTACTTCCGTGAGGTGTCTGCATACGTTATGTTAGTGTCAAAGTCCTTGGCGCTACATCGCTGTTTATCAGGGGTGGGAGACGGGTTGACGCACTTCCTTGTCAACGGGGTGCGGGCGTGCTTCTCATACAGGCAGTGCCGGCGGTACTTTACGCACAAGTTGCATGTCGGAATCGCCCGGTTGCACTTGGCTTTCCGCCTGCGGCACTCTTTGCAGGCTTGATCGGCGGACGGAAATGCCATGCTGAGAGAGTCGAGGTTGACCGGCTGAGATGCGGCCGGCTCATTGTCACCCAGGGCGCCTGAGGATGACATCTTTCATGGGACGCGCTTTCTTCCGGTCCTCTCCTGTCTACAATGGGCCGTCGGGATCGCGGTCTAAGCCTCAGGATTTCGAGTACTGTCTGTACGATGGGACAGGGGTTACCAAGACAGGGCAGGGTGAGTGTAGTCCGTATCAATCCGAGGACGTCATGATATGATATGCAGGAATAGGCGAGGAAACGAGGGAAAGTGTTGGTCTGGCGCATAGGGTGAGATGAGGTTGTCCTCCAACTCCAACGAACTCCAAGTGAAACCCCGCCCTTTTTCTCCGCACGCTTGCGTTGTGGTGATCCACAATACCATCTGATCGCGATCAGGGGGTGGGGGATGCAATGCTTGCACGGCCGAGCTCCGTCCGGTGTTAGTCGGATGTTGAGAATGGCTGGAGGACTTGCCATTGGGGATGGTTTATGGAACGTATGTCATGCGTCAAGTTGGCATTTGAATCGGCACAAGACAATGAGGTGGACTTGTGAATTGCGGAGCAAACCAACTTGGCCATGGCAGGCGACGACGAGAGTGCATGGGAGCCTGCGAATGTGATCCTGCTGTAGTCCCGGGGTTCATTGAATGGATGAAGATTCAATTCAAATTAAAAGATGTCTCCATGTGAAACAAGACATTCATGCTGCTCGCACGCTCTTGAACCTTCAAGTTTCAAAGACGGTGACAAAACACCTTTAGCTAGATCACTATCCAGAGTTTTCCTCGTGCTGTTCCTTGAGCTACCTGTAATTAAATAGGAATTAAACTATGCCTCCTCCTTGTGCACGATATCGTGAAGTCCCCCTTTGGCAAGTATCTTCTCTTCCTTCGAATCAGAAGCATCCTCAAAGTTTTCCACAGCCTGGGGCCCGTCAAAAATTACCGCAATCTCCTCCAAGCTGTGCCCCTTGGTCTCTGGGAACAGGACCCACGTAACGACAAAGAATACTACCAAAAAGCAGCAAAAGACGATGTAATACCGCCACCCAATGTTCTCTAAACCAATGGGATTGACGAACGCCGCGATGATTAGTGACCCATATATTGCGAACAGCTCAACCGCAATACCTTTAGAACGTAAAGAGTAGGGAAAGATCTCGGTCGGATATCCCATCAGGAGTGGGGTGTAAGCGATGTCGTAGTGGAAGTAGAAAGTGAAGAGGCAGACGACAACAACTACTCCGGCAGACTTGGACCCGGTGTCTGTGTTCACGGCTGAGCAGGCAGTCCAAACAATGTAGCTGACCAGCATGCCTGCCCCTGACCAAAGGAATAGAGCCCGACGGCCGAGCCGGTCAACGAGGAAAGCAGCACTCAAAGCGGCAGCGAAATTGAAGATCTGCAACAGGCCGTTGATCAATGTTTGTGTGAACGTATCCGTGATGCCAACGGTGTTGAGAACCAGCGTAAGGTAATACGAGACTACACCAATGCCATTCCACCTGTAGACCAATATGTGAGCAACAAACTGTATTCAGGGATTCGCAATATGGTACTTACTGGGCAAAGGCTCCCACGCAAACTGCAATCAATGTCCTCTTACGGTTGCCAGGCGTAGAAACCAACGCCATCCAGCCCGTTGTCTCTGCAGACTTTTCTTGCTGGATTGTATGGACAATTTCGGCCACTTCACGACGTACCAAGGGCGTGTGGCTTTCGGCTGCAGAATGAGTTCCCGAGTGATATTTGGCGAGAATTGCGGCAGCCTCTGCTGTTCGTTCTCTTGCTACCAGCCATCTCGGCGACTCTGGGACCCAGGCATAGAAGCATAGTTGTACGAGTGGGAATCCGGCTTGAAGGATGGAAGGAACTCGCCACGCCCACTCGCTTTGGTAATCTTGGCAGCCGAAAGTCGTCCACGAGGCCAAGATCGCACCTGTCAAACAGCAAGTCAGTCACCGGGAGTTGTTGGAAGCTGGTGGCTCGACGTACCAAGATAGTACATTGTCCAGTAAGCGGAGGTATACTTTCCACGATGCGTTGGGTCTTTTGGTCTTCAGTTAGCGTGATTTGCGTTATTATTTTGTGTCAGGACCCAAGAACCTACAAGCTAATTCGGCGATGAGCATTGGACTCGGGTGTACCACAAACATGCCGCCGAAACCAACCACTAGTCGCGAGATGATGAACATGGGCAAGTTAATCGAGGTGGATTGGATGATTGTGGCGACAATGATGAGGATGATGCCAGACAGTAGAACAGGCTTCCTGCCGAAACGATCTGCCAGATATCCCACGATAGGCAGAGCTAGGACGGATCCGATGGATTGTGCTGCATTCACAACTCCCAACCTTACACCAGCCGGATGTCCGAAGTATTCTCGCCATTGCTGAAGGGACTGGAGACCATTCATCAGGGAGCCTACATGTAACATAAGATGCGGTATTAGCAGCTATCAGATGATGCCTTGAGGAGATGTTTGGAAGTTCCTTGCACATACCATCATACCCTGCGACTGAAGAGGAGAGTAAGGGAATTAAAAGCAATAAGTTCAATCTGAGCAAGTGCGGCTGTTGAAACCAGTACTTGTCTGTCTTGGGAAGAACTTCGGCCAAGGCGGCGCCGACAATCTGCTCGTCTTTCATGATGGCTTATTTCCGAGATCACTTTTGCGACATTGACTAACACGAAGATGTCTTGACAGACGATGTAAGAACAAGACGAGGCAAGAAAGCAACAAGTTGATGATGATTCGTGACGGGACCCGCAGGAGCTTTATACATGCACCTGGACGAAGTAAGCCCATGGGAGCTGGTGATCAAGTAGTTCGCGGAGCATTTCGTACACAAACGGGATGGTTCCCAAGCAGCCGGAACCTGGGAATACCGCGTCCGGGAATCCTCCGCACGCTCGTTTACCCCACATAACGTGGTAAATGGGTCGTTGGAAATACGGGGGTGACTTGATGTTTGCCCATGGGGTAATCGACTGGTTGGCCTGTTGCATCATTCAAGCTGTGCTGCATCGGCATCCATCCTGGTACGCGAGTCATGCTTGTACGTGGCCCTACGAAGGAACTCTGACGTGCGGTTGGTAAAGTGCGGGGACGACGGACGACTGTCACCCTCTACTAGCGGGATGTCAAGGACTTAGTTGACGGAGAATGACAGGCGCTATTGGTGAGTTACGGCACTGTTGCCAAGTCCAAGTTCGGATAGCTTTGCCCGGTAATAACGCATAGTTGTTGTAGGCTAGGAATTTAGGCGAGGGTGGATGGGGGCCGCCAGTGCGGGATCTTTCGATCATGGGGCGACGATGAGCTTGAACCGGGTTGTAGTATGTTTGCAGCGTCAGTCTCGGAAGAAATCAAGGATCGGTTTATTCGGATTCCGGCTGGATAATCTCGGACTTATCAACGCTGCCGTCTTCTTCAAGTGAAGTCTCGTGGACAATGAAGCTGAGCTATCAAATCAACCAACTCTTTGCGTAGTGAAGGTCAAAGTGAAGAGCGTGATAACTTGATGGCTGATAATTCTTGACTGAGATAAAATAGAAATTTTCAAGATCATAGAAAACAATGTTATGAAAAAGTTGGTATTGCTGACTTGACACGTGTATAACTTTGATACCCTAAAATAGAAAGGCGGCTACTTCGCAATTGCTTCTGTCAGTTTTTTGTGTAAATAGCTCCGCATAGGTCCTGGTATAATATTTCAGAACCTGCCAAAACCCGTAAAATTAAGCTACTAGTGTAATCTAAATAGGATCATTTTTCATCTACGATTACATGCACTCGGTCAAGTCATTGGATGAGTCAGAGTTCACAGATATTTAAGAACATTCGATGAGAGAAGCCTATTGCAGACATGATACTTCAGTCTACTAAACTTCGATTTGTTTAATTCTTCTAGATCACCGTGCCGTGTAACCACCATCCACAATGAAGTCGGCCCCAGTTGTGTAGGAACTAGCATCACTTGTGAGGTACAGGTAAACGCCCTTCAACTCCCTCGGGTCAGCATCTCTGCGCAGTGGTGTCAAACTGAACCACTCCTCCTTCATCTCGAACGGACAATCGCCCGAGATGACGGTATCAATGTAACCAGGAGATACTGAGTTGATGCGTCCTCCCCACTTGGCCCACTCGACGGCCAAAGACCTTGCCAGGTGAATCTGCACATCTTTAGTGTTAGCCAGAATACTCTCATCAGGTGTCAAAAGAAGCTGGTATGATCGTACGGTTCCTGCCTTGCAGGCATTGTAGCAGCTCTGCTCTTGCGGCACATTTGCAGCGTGACCGCTCATGGATGCAGTGATGATGCCCACGCCCCTCTTCTGCTCGCGGAACACGAGCCCAGCCGCCCTCATGCAGTAGTACGCGCCGTCAAAGTCAACTGCACGCACGCGATCCCAGTCCTCGACCTTGTCGTCCAGGCCACCGGCTTTGGATGGGATCCCGGCGTTGGCGATCATGACATCCAGACGACCAAAATCCTTGACCGCTTCCGCAACCGCTGCCTCAACCGCAGGGTAGCTGGTGACATCAACCTGATAAGCCTTTGTCTTGACTCCAAAGTCCTTTGCAATAGTTGCGGCTATGGAGACTGCGGCTTTGGAGCTATTGTACCAGATGGCGATCTACAGGGGGCTCCTGTGTTAGTCGTGTGTGCACCACATTGGGATGAGGTTTAGCATACGTTGGCGCCGGCTTCGGCGAGGCCCCTGGCGATCTCTGATCCTATACCGCCTGCGCCCCCAGTAATGATGACCATCTTTCCATCTAGCCGGAACTGTTTGAAGACACTGCCTTCGATAGGCGGATCGGGGGCTCTGATGGACTTTCTCGTCCCATTCGTGGAGCCGTTTGTTGCCATCTTGCTTGCTTAATGAGCCAAAGAAAATGGAGGGTAGAAAGAGTCAATCGGAAGATAGAAGGGCTAGAAGTTCTGCGGTCGTGGGTGACGGAGTTTCTTCAGCTCAAGCATTTCAAAAGATTCAAATACCTGGATTTAGTCACAACATCCTCGTCCGTTTCTTCTTAGCTTAATCACACGGGCTTGAGAAGGCTAGTGACACCCTCGGCAAGGTTCCCCGGGTACCAGGTGGAAGCACCGGCCGGATCTCTGTCACCCTCAGTTCCAGTACCTAGGTAGGCTATTCCGGCCTGTCATTTGCGACAGCTTGACCCAAGGTGCTGTTCAATTGGGTAACTCTTCTATGCTATCGATCAATATATCGTATCTGCCCTCACTGTGCCTGCCAACAAAGTCTCCGTTGACCATGTCATTACTCTCTGCTCTAAAGAGAGCTCTTTCCATGGTGTCTTCAATACCAGCTGCAACGTGCCGCACAGCAACCCGAGTCCGTGCCAGTGTAGGCCCAACTCTCACAAGCCACCGATCATCTACCAAATCTGCAATCTGGCTCCAGGGCTCTTCGTCGACGAGCAAGTAATTCCCCTCAATGATACAAACTTGGACATCTGCCTCCACAGTGAACCCATCAGGAACCGGGTCCTTCACCTTGTGATCAAAGGTTGGCGCGAGAACGGGCCGCAGCCCAGTCGAAGACCGTAATTGCCGGACAAGATCAACGACGGCATGGCCATCAAAGGTCCAGGGTGCCCCGCGGCGGGCGATGGCCTCCGCCGCATTTGGAAGCGCCCGGAGGGTTGCGATGGGTAGGTGGAAGCCGTCTGCGGATAGGATAATGGACTTCGGGCGGGGTTCTGGGGAGGCGTTGATGGCGGAGACGACTTCCTGGGCGATGGTAGTCTTTCCGGAGCCCGGTGGCCCTGCGAGTGCGATGATGAGGCGGGGATGTGTATGGGAGGTGTCAGGTGATGTGTACCTCTTCTCATTCCATTTTTGAATGATTCGTTGAACAAGGCTTCGATAGGTAGACTCCATACTTGGACCAGCAGTGCTGTAGTCTGTAGACATTGCGGATTCGCGGGGGAAGTAGACTCCCCGGACACGACGACCCTAGAAAAGGACTATCTCCTATTAGTAGAGCCCTGAGTATGCATGAGCCTTTCAGCAACAAAAGAATCGCTAATGTAGGTACTCCTAACTCTGAGTATCGTAGTCCGGCGCTAGATGTTCATCGGACTACTGTCACCCGAACTCGGTCCCTGTCCGGCACCGCACGGCGGCCCCACCCCGCAATCAACGTCACGCTTTCCGTCTGGCGCTTCACCTCTGCACAAATAAGATGGTTACCAAATTGAACAATACTGCACGGATTCACGTACCCTCTTCGAGATCTTGACGGTTATCTCTATCTCAATCTCACAAATCTAGCCCTGAAAAGACATCGACTCAACATGTCCGAAATTGTATGTACTAGCTGACTAGCCCTGCCCCCTTGCAATCGCCGGATTCACTGATGTCCTGTCCAGAACCCTGCCTTTGTGCTCCACTCTGTCAAGAATGTCTCATTTGAGAACCGCAAAGTACCAGAACTTCGCGATGAACATGACGTCCGAGTTCACATCGAGCAGACAGGTATCTGCGGCAGTGACGTGCACTACTGGCAGCGAGGCCGGATCGGTGACTTCATCCTAGAATCGCCCATCGTTCTGGGGCATGAAAGTTCAGGGACTATCGTTGAGGTTGGAAGCAAAGTCAAGAACGTCAAAGTTGGCGATCGAGTGGCGATAGAGCCAGGTGTTCCATGTCGGCAGTGAGCCTCCCGCAGCCCTCAACACAGGCAAGCGGCCGTTTCTAACGATTCTACTAGCTGTGATTATTGCCGAGCTGGCTTATATAACCTATGCGCAGATACAGTCTTTGCAGCAACGCCTCCCTGGGACGGCACGCTGCAGAAGTACTACATTGTCGCCAGTGACTACACTTACCCGATCCCTGAGCACATGTCCTCCGAAGATGGTGCTTTGGTAGAGCCAGTTGCCGTCGCCGTCCAAATTTGCAAGGTGGCGGAGCTGAAGGGTGGCCAGACGGTTCTCGTGTTTGGCTGCGGACCCATTGGTGTCTTGTGTCAGGCTGTTGCCAAGGCGTATGGGGCAGCCAAAGTCATTGGCGTTGATGTATCCGAGTCTCGAGCTCAGTTTGCGAGGGAATTTGCTGCTGACGACGTCTACGTCTCGAAGAAGTTGCCCGACGCTCCCGAGGATCCCGTCGATGCTGCCCGCGCTATTGGAGAGAAGATTGTCAGGGACTATGGTCTCGGGGAAGGGGCTGATGCTGTTCTGGAGTGTACCGGTGCGGAGCAGTGCATCCAGGCTGGCGTGTTCGCCGCGAAGAAGGGCGGGACGTTTGTTCAAGCCGGAATGGGGAAAGAGGTTCGTTCACAAACATCTGGGCATCAGACATTGGAACGACGTTTGCTAACACAAAAGCAGAACATCGTATTTCCCATCACAACAGCTTGTATCCGAGCTTTGACTATCAAAGGGTCGATCCGGTATCAGACAGGATGTTATCCCGAGGCTGTCAATCTCGTTGCCAGCGGAAAGGTTCACCCTAGGAAGTTGATCACGCATCGCTACAAATTTGAGGAAGCTCTCAAGGCGTTTGAGGTCGTAAGACAGGCCAAAGAGAACACTCTCAAGGTAGTTATAGAAGGTGTACCTAAGTAATGGACATGCCGTTTTAATGGGTAGCAACGAGAATAATGATTAAATATTCGCGTAAACCTCTCAAGAGTCTTGTGGACGTTTACTTGACCTTATTTAAAGGAGGAAAGCTTCAATCACGTTTCGCTGCTCAAAATTGGTGGACCCATTTGAAATTCTACATCCATGATCAATTTGCGCATATGGTGACTAGCGAAATAATCCCATCTTCCGCCGCCATTTCGCACCAGTCTAGACCATGCTGGGTATCTGAGGAAACTGAGGAGATGCCTCATGACTGCACGACTCCTGAGGGAGGGATGTGAATAGAACCTTACCTTCTTGGAAGAAGTGACAATCGCCGTGCGCAAACCCGGTTAGGCACTAAACTACGGAAAAAGGTCAGTAGGTCGAGGGGCGGCCGGGGTCACAAACGTCCGGAGTGCTACGTCTTCCCCGCACCGAATTGGCCCCTCCCGCTCCGGCAGACTGTCGACCGTCGGCCTCATTCGCCGATGGATGTAGTGTGGTTCTCAACTCCATCATGTACTCAAGTCTTTTCGGTACAAAATTCCCGGCTTTAGCTCCAAGCCTGCCGGCAGACAACAGTCAGGCCATCACATCACCGTTTCACCCTTGTCATCAACAACTTCCAATTTCCCTAGACATAGCTCAGCATCGAAAATGGTTCTTCCCAGCCACCCGAACCCGGCAGCGCCCGTAATCTCGCACTTCGACTTGTCCGGTAAGACGGCCATAGTCACCGGCGGAACCCGTGGTATCGGCCTGGAAGTCGCCCGCGGACTCGCCGAGGCCGGGGCCAAGGTCGCAATCACATACACCAGCACCGACCCCGCAGAGGCTGATGCCACAGCCGCCAAACTATCTGAATCGGGCAAAGGTGTGCTCGTAAAGGCGTACAAGTGCAATGTCCGAAACAGAGCCGAGGTGGAATCCGTCATTGAGACGGCGACGAAGGAAGTGGGAGGCGGCAAGCTCGATGTCGTCGTAGCTAATGCCGGAATCGCGGACCATATCCCCGCCATTGAATATCCGGAGGACAAGTTCCGTGACATGCTGGATGTCAATTTCCACGGCGCTTTCTGGACTGCGCAAGCTGCGGCCAAGGTCTTTGAGAGGCAGCTGAAGGGTGGGAGTGACGGTCGTGGAAGCATCATTTTCACGGCTTCGGTTTCCGCCATCTTGGTGAACGTTCCGCAGAAGCAGGCGGCGTATAATGCCAGTAAAGCGGCTGTTGTGCACTTGGCTAAGTCGTTGTCTGTGGAGTGGGTTGACTTTGCGAGAGTGAACTGCGTGTCGCCTGGTTTCATTGCAACGGACAGTAAGTTCAAGCTCGATGACTTGGGTCTATGGAGTGATGAAAATCTAACTTTGATAGTGCTTTCGGTGCATCCCGAGGAGTGGAGGAAGAAGTGGTTTTCCATGATTCCGGGTGGTCGACTATGCGAGCCTGCGGAACTGAAAGGATCTTACGTCTATCTGGCAAGTGGTGCGAGTAGTTACATGACAGGTATTTTTCCTTGATCCCACGCTCTACTGTCTAGTCAGCTAAAAAAAAAAATTACTAGGCGCAAATTTGGTGATTGACGGCGGATACACATTGCCGTAGATGAGATTAGCTAGAGGTTCAAGATATTTAAAGAATCACCAAAACCCAAAACGCTGCATGTCGGAATCTTTTGCTACTCGTATGAAGGCGAATGAATGACTCAGACGTTCATGACTTCACCATCAAATGAGCAGGCGTCCGTCTTCAGCTCTATAATGCTGTGCGGACTGTATTGAAATATTTGGAGAGACTGACAACCCATTATCTCATCCCCCCCCCTGCGAAAGAGACAACGAAGCCTGGAACCAAGGGACTCTTCTATACTGTAGGACATCGCAAAGTGCCCCTTATCTATGCTGATGTGGGCCGAGCAAGTCAAGCCGTCGTTCCGGAAGAGGTCCCACACCCCGACCCGCCGGAGCCCGGGTCGTCCGGAAAGGCCATGATGGATACCGTTGGTGTTGAATGTGGATCGTGCCCTCATGTCACGCACAACCTGGAATCCATCAGATCCAGTCTACCCGATAAATCTTCATCAACCGCATCAAATGCCCGGCTAGCTCAATCGGTAGAGCGTGAGACTCTTAATCTCAAGGTTGTGGGTTCGACCCGTAAGCATCAGATACCCATCTTCAACGCGAAGGATCATGTAACTAACAGTAACCAGCCACGTCGGGCTCAATTCCCGTCAGCGATTGAACTGGCAATCATATCTTTTTGCCAATTTTGTGCTGATGTTTTCTGTATTTAAAGCAAAGTGAGTAGGCTTTTAGTAACACCGGCTGCATTCAATCTCCCTTTGATCTTGGTAGATTCTTTTGTGATATTTATCCCCTAATCACCACAGGTCATCGCCCTCTCTTTGGCCTTGGCCTCACCATCAAGGACCCCAATGAAATTCACTCACCTCCAAGAACCTGTTCACACCTCGCCGTGGCTGCAGGGTTCCCCTCCATCTCACAGATTTTGCCCAGCCTAGCTAAGAGAAAGTGCCACGCGACGACTTTCTCCAAAAAACCAAGCATCTTGGCAGAACTTGGCATCGCGGCCTTTGACGCTCCGGTCCTTGCAGAAATGCAGAAAGCGGGAGCTATCTCAGTCTAGCGAGATCCTGCGCCGAGAGAACGATCGTCGCAAGGGTTGCAGTATCGCGGGTTGAGCCTAAATGCCACGCTTGTTTCGCGAGGTAGGGTGGCAGCGGTAACTATATCGATTGGTCGGTTAAGTTGGTGGTGGCGATGCTCCCGTTGCTTGGCTGAAAGAAATTTTTCTATAAGATTATGTCGCTTGGGGATAGGTCTCGTTTTTTTGATCCAATTTGTTCCGTCTTTATCGTGGTTGCGATGGGGCTGATTTCGCTCATACAGCCTTGGAGTTGTCTCTTGGTTATCACGACTATTGTTTCGTCAACCCTCAACAACAATGATAACACCCAAGTCTCTTGGGGAAGTTATGATCCACTCATCGCCGCCAAATTGGAACAACAATGTCCATTGGAAAATTTTGAGCGGGTTGCGCAAGTCAGTGAATGGCACCCATGGACGCAAGAACCAGTATGTGTCGGTCCAAAGGCAAACAAGGAACGGCAGTATTGCGCTTTCATCAAAGAAGACTTTCGAGGGAAAAAAAGTCTTCTACTTATCACAAGCCCAGAGGTTGCAGCCGGTGTTGTCAGTCTCGTCGAGGATATCGACTCCGAACGGGCCAATATTCAACCTTCACTTGAGCCGGCCGACCCACTCCCCTTTGAAGTTGAGACGATACCGGGTAAAGGTTTAGGAGCCGTCGCAAACAGGCACATCCGCTCGGGAGATGTCGTCTTGAGGGAACACCCTGTAATTCTGCAATTGGCGCAAGTATCTGAGTCGATTAGCCGGATTCAGGCTCTATGGGTGCTAGAGGAGGGCTTCATTCGGCTGCCGATAGAGGATCAGCAAAGAGTATTTGATCTTTCTAGAAGCACCGGGGGCCATATTCTGGAAGATATCATCCGAACAAATACGTTTGGCGGAAGTTTCAACAACATTGCCCACTTTGGACTGTTTCCAGACGTTGCGGTAATTGATTATTTTCCAGCATCCTGTTACAGCTTCACTAATAATGAGCAGAGAATCAACCATGCTTGTAAACCCAAGTACGCCTACACCCTAAACTTGGGTCAAAGTAAAGATAGAGTGCTTACCAAAAGCTAGTGCAATCACCCGCTTCTCGCCCCGGACTTTGGAGTTAGAAGTCTTGGCGTACAAAGACATCTTGCCGGGCGATGAACTAAGCATCAGTTGTCAGAACCCCGAGTCCCTCCCGCACGTCCATCTGAAAACGACTAATGCCGGGAACAGACTCGATGCTAAACATGCTTTACCAAGACCGACAAGATGCCCTCCAGGAATGGGGGTTCAACTGCACTTGCGCGCTCTGTAGCTCTCCTCCCGAAGTGCTGGCCATCTCAGATGCCTATCGCAGACGGCTGCAGGAGATCCTCTCAGAGCTCGAGGACCCGGTCCTCGCCAGCTTGCCGTCCTTGGTGGCTGAGCTTGTTGACGAGCTTGAGTATATCATGGTAAAAGAAGGGTTGACAGCGCAGGCGGGCGAGTTCTATGGCATAGTTGCTGGGGTGTACCGCAACATGGGGGAGATGGGAATAAGTAAAAAATACGCAGAGTTGGCAGTGGAGAAGCTGGTGCAATTTGCGGGGTACGACGATGAGAGGACGGTGAGGGCAAGGGAAGTTCTTTTGGAGTTTGGGGGAACGTAACTCGGCACGGGGCAAAGGATCGCGTTGGGGTAAATTTGGAGGCGGCGCGGTAGCAACACTCAAAAGAGCACATTCACGGATCAAAGGGGTATAAGTGGTGTGTGTTTTCTGGAACCGGGGGCCATATTCCTCATTCAGAGGGGGTGATTCGTTTATCCCACCCCCGTCATGGCCCATGGGGAAGGCAGGAGTGACATGGCGTGTCACTTTGCCTGGTCCGGGGAAGCGAGCAAGTTGACAGGTTGCGGAGAATTTCTTGGTGGAGGAGGATTACACCGGCGCAGCGGGTTGCTTGACATGTTGACACGTTTGGGACCGGCTATGCGGCACCTTCATTGATGAGATGACGGACGCGGGCCGGGGTGATGGTTCATGTCATGTCTCGATTAGGTTGCGGGAGGATGTGCCCGCTGCAGCATCCCACCGGGCATTTTGTTTCCAGACTGTAAAGAGAAATAATATCAGACGGTTGAACGAGAAGTGTAGATGCGGGTCAATGAAGTTGAGGCTCTAGCTGGAGCCCATCTTGGCCATCTTGGCGATGCCAAGTGGCTTGGAACGACAGTTGCCAAGGTTTCTTGGCGTTCTTTTGTGAACGTCGATTTCAACGGACGCTCAAAGAAATGTCATGTTCTCAAACAAGAAAGACAACGAGTCAACTAAAGAGAAAGGATTTTGACATTTGGGGATTATGCACGGACATATGTGTGTTGCGACCCAAAAACCAAAGACATTGGTTGTCAATCAAAACTGCTCATCAAACAAACAACATGGCGATTTAGGCGATGCTTGGTTCTTCAAGTGACAGACAGTACGATTGTTTGACACACATCTTCAAAGTCTGTTCATTGAGAGTCACTGAGTGGTAATAATATTTAGTTGGCTCGTATCGGCAAGCATCCCCTGCCTTTTCGGGCAAAAATTGCAAACTTCGAATACGACATACGCACTGATTTTCAGGTTCAGATCTCATTTACACAGTAGCAGCCAGAAACCCGACGGAAGCAAGGAGAGAAAGATTATCCGTACCAGCCATGTGCATCCAGTGGATCGCCTCCGCAAACTGCACCGGCACCGTGGACGGGAATACTCCGCAAAACGGGTGCAAGGGAGCCCACGTCGCGGTGGTACGCCGCGAGGTCTGCCTCTCGGCTAGCGAGCAATGCGTGTGCTTCTTCGGCTCGTGTTAGACCATCCTCACGCTGTCCGCCGGGGACCAGGAAACAGTAAACGCGCCGTGCGAGGTTTGCGGCGCGGACGAAGATCCAGAGCAGATGATGCTGCTGAGAATATTTGACGACGCCTTTGCCGCCGAGTGGGTTGTCGCTTTTGGTGAGAGCCACTATGCCAAGTGCCCCGAGGGTAAGTGGAGGGGCCGTTGGGCAGAAGATGAGTGAGTTGTGAGCCTCGCCAGCCGTGGGGGAGTAATTTTTTACGGATTTCCAGGGGAATGGCACAACGCGGAGAAAGAACGAGACTTTCGCGCCAAGGATGGACTGTTCCATGGCCGATGGCCCATGGGAGCGGTCACAAAGAATCGACGCGGGGAGAGCATACAAATCAGGTTTCTGGGACAGTTGGTGCCGCTAGTACCGTTGCAACCGTCGATCAGTCGGACTCGCTCTCTGTTCTGCCCTCCGAAGCCGGTGAGTTTTGGCGAAGGATCTTCAGTTTCCAAATCCTCACCAACATGGAAATTTTCTCAGGTAAAGGTTTTGACCAATGTAATTCAAAATCTTGTTGTTGGCAATGCTGCCGCGTGGAACAATCGTATGAGGTCTAATTTACCAAGACATGAAATCCCCGCAAACCTGTAGATTACATGCCTGGTCCTGGGTGGCTGGGAGATGCCTGCTGGATTTCCTCCGCTCCCTTCGCCATGTGACGGCCCTGACGGGTGGACTCCGTCCGCGTCGACGGCGACATGAAGCCCCCGTGTTGTTGGAGAAATGTACCATTTAAGAACATGGTGTGCGTCTGTGTCCTGTGTTGCCTGTTGTTTTTTGGTGTGTGTGGAAGCTTCAAAACCTCAGGCGAGCTGTAAGTTGAGCGCTTAGATATTCCAACTCCAGTTTTCCCCATACCGTCCCCATTGAAGGAAGCTTTCTCCGTGGGGACTTTGGGGTTGAAAGGAAGTCCATGATCCATCAAGGGGACCTGGGGCTGTCACCATGACCGTGCTCTGGACGGGGCTGGGAAACTTGGAATCTGGCCGAGATACCCTGGCGCTGTCGCCGGATGTTCCCCAAAGCTCACGAATCACTAGGCATATCAAGGTGTCACGGCGCGAATTATCGTGCCTCTGGTTGGCCAAGGACGGACATGTAAGCTTATTCTACGGGGTCAAAGTCACAATGAGATCCATCTTGTTTGGCTAACGTAAGGGGGAGACCAAAAAATGGGCACCGAACCGAGGGAGATGGAAGAAAAGAGAGCGAGACTCACTGTGAGAGAGAAGAGGGAGGCGAATACCTATCGTCGGTCGAGCCCCGATGGGCCAGACCTTGTTGGAGCTAATTGCTGAATGGCTGAATTGGCCAGTCTCCGGCCGGGCTATGGCTCTGGCGCTCTGCATCTTTTCACTGTCAAGGTATCAATAAACCGGAGCAGACCGGGGTGCGATGACTCGATTCCAAAGTGGCCTCGCCGCCCTCGCGGGCGCATACCGTCCTTCGCCCTCACGGAAGATGGCCGAGCGGCAGTTGCTGGCCCCGTCGACTTAAGCCCGAAACGGTTCCGTCGGGATCCACCGGCCGGCGGCGAGCTGCGAGCTGCGAGCTTGCGGAGCGCGAACATGTCGGGTATCCAGTTCTTTACGCAAGGCACTTTAGCCAGCGACGAAACAAGCACTTTGAGGTATGGGGATGGGGGAGAAATCTTGCGTGTTTTTGTTGGGTTCCACGCGCGCAAACGGCCTTTTGGACATGGATCATGGGCTGATGATGGGGCTTTTGCGAGTGGTTTGTCTTGGATCTCATCTTTCCCCCTCCTCTACGCGGTAGGCTTTGCCGCCTCTGCGTTAGCCGTACTCCAGTCTTGTCTCCATCTTCTTGGTCCCTCTTCCTCCTGGAGCTCCTCCGTTTGTCAGCAGGACTAGCGAGCATCGGACGTCGACGAGTCATATCGCAGCCAATTTTTCTCGAAATCTTTGAGGAGGGTTGCAGTGCCAGAACGGCGTGTTGCGGGGAAATGGTAGCTCATCTGGACCATCTCATCTTCTCCAAACCCCAAAGCGCGGAGAATGCGGAGCCAACTCCTATATCAGCCAGGGGTGGCACAATAGCGCGGGCACTCACACAGAACAACGCCGTCAACAACGCACACACTCAAGTCTCAGTCACCCATAGTCTACTGTCTCTCACACACCTAGGACACGCGAGCAGTCAGCCGGACCGCAACTTTGGATGCCGTTGGGTAAAGTGGTCTAGTAAACCCTGCCGCCAGGCCCGACTTGGCCTGCGCTTCATGTTCCTACTTGGCAGAGCCCAGACGCCCAGCCGGGGGAGACATCACGTCACTTGGCGCTGGCTGATCGCCCTTGGTGAAAAGTCTTGGTTCCAATCCAGCGACGCGGGACAGTAGCCTGCCGGCGCAAACAAGACTTGAGGCGCATTTCTTGTCCCGACCACCACCATCAACGTCGCGCACGCCGTCGGTGCGCCATGGAACGAGCGGCGTTGCTCCGTCTGACGATTCGACAAATGATACAACAGCATACGAAAACTTACTGCATGGAATGTCATGTAGGTGTGTTGCATTACGGAAACTTGCGGGAGCCTCTTGATCCCAACGCGTCGGTTGAGGCAAGTATAGTCTGCCCGCTTAGTCCAACGTATGTCGAAATATGAAAGCGAGGGCGCGGCATGAAGACCGTGCTGCCCATAACCACGGTTATCCTTGAGTCAAATTAACCAGTCATCCGATGTTAAACAGTGGTTATCCTCGCTTTTTGAGGGGCAGGTGGACGCTTCTGAAATTTGACTTTTGTATCAGAGCGTTTTTCCGTTGATTCACTTTTTTTCTTGATTCGGTTTTCCTGCTTTTCCGTCAACTCTCACTTACATCAATTCAGTCGGCGGTTCTTCGCTGTGATTCAGATTGTGATATCACGTCCCAGCAATGAGTAATCCATCAACACATTTTCCTTCCTTTTTCAGCGTGCCGAAGATCCGAAAGGATAACGTGTACGCTGCCATTGCATTATCAAAGTGGATAATTAGATAGGTCCTATGCGGTGACACAATTACAGGTGCGCCCGAGAAAAACTACGAAGGTGGACGAAGGTCACAGTCAAGATGGACAACTGCTCTCGTCACTCGAGAGTACGAGCTGGAAAAGAGGACGGAGATCTGACCGGCACTATCCTCGTCGCCTTTCAATGTTCCTCCTTCTCGTCTTCCCCCTCCTGGTGTTCCTAGTCTTCCAATGGTCCTAGTCTCCCTAGTCTTCCCCAACCTACCCCAAACCCGCGCCGGCGCGCGGTTGCCATGGCCGGATATGGGCAAGCTGCCGCCCACTTCACGACCTTGTTCGACCGCCGCCGCTCGCCAGGTCTCCTCCCCACGCATCTCCATGTTCATCCCCATACCGGTACCCCCCATCTCAAGCCACCCTTGCTTAGTTTTGTAACAAGGACACCATCCATTCATTCCTTCCCCTCGTAATTTTTTTCACGATGGTGGATCGGAAGTTGAGCGATTGGCCAGTCGCCGGAGCCAGCCCATCCACCCCGACATCCTCGACCCTTCTTTTCCCACGGGGTCGCATTGGCCGCTGGCTGTCATCTCTCTCTCTAGGGCGGGGAGGGGGGATGGGTTGAGTTGGTCCACGCGAAGATGGGATCTAGGGTGGTGTAAGTGTGTATGGATCTACGTGCCCTCCTGCTCCTCCTCCTCTCCTCAGATCCGGGTATTAATACGAACCGTTCCTTTCCTCTTCTCAAGTTCATGTTCCCCAACCGTTGTGTTCATACCCCAAGCCCACGAACCTCCTCACCCCCCCTTTCTTGTCATTCCAGTAGCCCGTCCTCGAACATACCGGCGAGCAAAGCAATACTGTCAAAATGGCAGGCGGCGGTGTCAAGAAGCCCATCAACATCTTCAAGTTGGGCGACCTCGGTGAACCCGAGGGCGTTTTCAACTGGCGGCTATGGTTCGCAGTCATCTCCTTCGGCCTCATGGGCGCGGCCCGTGGTGTCGATGAGGGTCTCATTTCTGGCGCATTCGGCTCCAAGGATTTCCAAAAGTTCATTCACTACGATACATACAGCGCGGCTGAGAAGACCAACATCAAGGCCAACGTCTCTGCCATGGTTCAGCTCGGTTCCGTTGCTGGTGCTCTCTTGTAAGCTTAACCTACATATCCTCAAAGTCTTATGACAGGCCTTCCTCTAACCTCTATACCGCAAACAGTGCCTTCGTTATCTGCGACAAGATCGGCCGTATCTGGGCTACCCGTCAACTCTGCGTCATCTGGATTATCGGTATCGCCATCTTCATGGCCAACAATGGACACCTCGGCGCTGTTTACGCTGGTCGATTCATCGCCGGTCTCGGTGTCGGCCAGACGCCCGTCGTCGGCCCCGTCTACCTCGCCGAGATCGCCCCGGCCTCTGTCCGTGGTCTCTGCACCTGTGTCTTCACCGGCTTTGTCTACCTCGGTATCGTGCTCGCCTACTTCACAAACTACGGCTGCCAGATCCACCTCGGCGACACCACCCACAACCGCTGGCTCGTGCCCACCTCCCTGCACATCATGTTCGCCGGCATCATCTTCATCTTGACCTTCTTCCAGTTCGAGTCTCCCCGCTTCCTCGTCAAGCAGGGCAAGATCGAGGAGGCCACCGAGACCATGGCTCACCTCCGTCACCTCCCCGTCGACCACGAGTATGTCACCCGTGAGATCTACGCCATCCAGCACTCCCACCACGAGGAGCTCGAGGCCTCCAAGGGCACCACCTGGCTCGGAAAGGTCAAGGAGCTCTTCCTCGTCCCCAGCAACTTGTACCGCCTGTACCTCTCCACTATGGTTCAGTTCCTCTCCCAGTGGTCCGGTGCCGGCTCCATCACCCTCTATGCTCCCGACCTCTTCAAGATCCTCGGTATTGAGGGCCAGAACGAGTCCCTCCTCGTTACCGCCGTCTTCGGTGTCGTCAAGCTCGTCGCCGCCGTCGGCTGTGCCCTGTTCCTGGTTGATGTCATCGGTCGCAAGCGCGCTCTGCTCACGGGTATCACCCTGCAAGCCATCGCCATGATTTACATCGCCTCCTTCCTCACACACGTTCCCAAGCTCGGTGTTGACGATTCCTTCGAGCTCCCCGCCAACCTGGTCGGTGTCAGCAAGGGCGCCATCGGCATGATCTACATCTCCGGCTTCGGTTGGGCCCTGGGCTGGAACTCTATGCAGTACCTGCTGACTGCCGAGTTGTTCCCCCTCCGTGTTCGCGCGCTCGCGACCTCGTGGGCCATGACCCTTCACTTTGCCAACCAGTACGGTAACTCCCGTGCCGTGCCCAACATGTTGGCTTCTACCGCTGTTGGTGGTATCTCCCCCATGGGCACATTCTGGTCGTTTGCTGCCATTACCATCATCGGTGGTGTCTGGGTCTGGTTCTTCGTTCCCGAGACTTCTGGACGTGCTCTTGAGGATATGGACCGCCTCTTCGAGCTTCCTTGGTACAGGATCGGTCTTCACGGTAATGCCGATGCCGAGGCGAGAGATGTTGTCTACAACGAGAAGCAAGAGGCTGCTGAGGGTATTCAAGGAATGTCTGAGCACGCCGAGAAGAAGCCTGCTCAGGTTTAAAACAAAGTGGACGTGAAAGAAGCCCGAGGCTTCTAATGGTTGAAAAGGGTATCTAATGAATGCAATATACCCAATAATGATATGAATACAAACATTGAATCTATCTACCCTTTTGTGGTGAATCGCACGCTCAAATTAAATCCATCCCCGCGTGGCGACAGTGATTCCCATCTTTGTCTCATCAGTCGCGCGTTCACAGTTCATCACATAATACTGCAGACAGATGACAATTCAAAGTTTCAAGCTCCTGTTGAAGTCAAACCACGGATAAGCTACTAAACGTTTGATCTGGGTCACGGATATATGCACACTGATTGATAATCTTGATTAGACCCAGGGAGGCACCTTGTATCGTCTCAACCTCTGACGGTTGATGCTTGAACCTTCGGATGGTGGTGTGGAGGGATTGAAGTAAAATAAGGTGGGCAGGCACGCAGATTCGTGAGGCCGTCGCCGAGCGGATGATCTGCTGAATGCGTTGAGACAGATGCCTTCCCAAACCTCAGACGCGCGCTACACGTGGCTGAGTCCTAGAAGAAACATTATTCTGACCGATGCGAGCCCAACAAACCGGTTGGTTGTTGAAACCAAATAAGACGGAGTCTAACTCCGATTTCGTTTCAACCCGCCATTGGGCATGGGTGTCTCCCACGTGCCATCAATCACACTTCAAGTCCTTGCATCAGATAATACGACGTACGAATCTCGACCCAAATCCGGCGATCTGGTCTTGATAGTCGCGACCAAAGAGCATCTACGGCATTGTACGGTAATAAGAGACAATGGCTTGCGCTCTCAAGGACAGCCCAAATAGGTTAGCATTGTCTCTCTCGATGAGCCACAGGGACCGGAATGCTGCCAATCGAACTGATGTGCAAGAAGCGGTTTTTATTGTCCCAAGAGCTGCCGATGACATTGACGGCCATGGTCTTCCAGTCACGCCGCGCCTGTGGCGCAATCGCCGTCCTCGACGCAGCCATAGCCATGCATGAAAGCAACCTGTTTTCTTTCAACAGCAATAGACGCCAGACCAAGAACGCACCATTGGCGTCGACAGCCGTCGCCTACTCGCCAAAGCTGGCGCGCCCACAAGCCCTTTGCCCCCTTTCCCACATGAGCCGATCCTGAGAGATCGCCTTTGCCGCTGATGTGGTTTTTGTCGACCGGCTTCTGGGTCTCGATTCGGTGGGCATCATCGAAAAGCTGGTAGGCGCTAGCACTGTTTCCGTCGATTATGTAGATTTGTATAATACTCGAGAATCCCACACAAGCAATGTGGGATGCCGACAACACAGGTTTCAGAGTGCCTGATCAAAGACCATTGCGTCCTCTGATGTGAACCAAGAGGTAAACTCCTAAGGTGCACCATGAAGGCTTCTTTCCTCCCTTTGCTCTTGACTGGGCTAGCAGGGTTGGCGTCAGCCGCCTCACTTGCTGACGCTCCTCAATGCGCTGTAAGCATTTCTCACGAGTTTCTTACGGCCGTTTTGCAACCATACTGACAAGCTCTGAAGATATCCTGCGCTCTTTCGGCTCTTCCCGAGTCGCCTTGCACCATATCGAATCAGACATGTCTTTGTGTCGATCCGACTTTCAACAGGCTTGTTGGCGACTGCGTCAAGAATGCGTGCACAATCAAAGAAGCACTGGGTACGTCAAACTTCCACACCTACACTTGAGCATGTGTAGGAATATCGATACTGATGCAATGTTTAGCTGTGACAAACTTGACGTGGTCATCATGCGGATTCCCTTTGACTGATCGGACGAGTACGGCACGATACACGACCATCTTCTTGTTCATACTGCCCGTGGTTTTCATGGCAATCCGGCTGTCGGCTAGATTTCTGCGTCTCGCACCCTGGGGAGCCGAGGATACGGCGATATGCATTGCTTTTGTATGCGTGACAATGGATCGTTCTCATGCCCAAGAAGAGAGCTCTGACTCGACTACAGGCATTTTTAGTACCTTTTCCACCGATCATATTCCTTAGTGAGTTCCTTCTACCATAATCCCCAGGATATATTGCTAATTAGTTTTGACAGTGATGCGATACGGCCTGGGGCGAGATATCTGGACTCTGCAGCCGTACGAGATTACAATGTTTCTGAAAGTAGGAATCCCACCATTGGACTGTTTCCAGCCTCTGGAGCTTTGTCTGACTAGTAATTCCAGCTTCTGTTCATTCTCCAACTCTTTTACATATCAGGTCTAGCCGTCATCAAAGCCTCGGTGATATACTTATACATACGAGTCTTCAACATTCAAGGCTTCAGAACCGTCCTGTGGTGCACACAGATTTTCAACTTCCTTCTCGGAGGAAGCTACATCTTGCTCAGCCTCGTCCAATGTCAACCATTTCAACATTATTGGAACGGGTGGGATGGCGAGCAAGAGGGCCACTGCGCAGATCTTAACACAATTGGCTTGACCCATGTCGCTTTCAACATCGCACTAGACGTTTGGATGCTGATCTTACCGGCGACGCAACTTTACAAGCTCAACATGGAGCTCAAGAAGAAAATTGGCGTGATGGCCATGTTCAGTATAGGCATATTGTAAGTTAACATTTCGATATACCAATGCTGGTAGTTGGGAATCTAACATCGATACAGCCTGACTTCGGTGAGCATCGTACGGATCAAGAGTCTCCTGGTGTTTGCTACAAGCTTCAATATCACTGGTTAGTTGCCCCATGTCATCAGTCTCGTACAATAGACTCGAAACTGACTAAACATAGCCGACTGCCTCTGGGGTATTATTTGGTCATACGTGGAGCTTTGCGTCGGGATCTTTGTCGCCTGCATGCCCGCCGCTCGACAGCTTGCTTGGAGATTCTTTCCCAAACTTGTCAATTACACCCGAAATTCACTTACAGGATCGAGTAAATCAAAGCGCGAGGTTCAAAATGAGGAACTCACACCGATCGCACAGGGGAGGCAATCTCCGAAGTCGGGTACTCTGTCATCAACGATCACGCAATCGAACGCTGGGTCTGTCATGGATCCTAACACACCTCGGAGTGCAACGTTCGGTCTTCCATAACTAGGGTACTACATAATTATGTTTCATGAAGGCAAGAAGTCGGAATAATCAGCGAGTCAGAAACTTGGAATCCTTTATTCATTAAGAGTTGCTCTATATTACATATTATTAGATTGATACCACTAGAGCGGCCTTCTCCGAAACTCTAATTGAAGCATATTCATGTCAACTTCCTTGATTGGTCGCCATGACTTTTTCGAAACAGCTGATGATATCGTAGACAGTAAAGTCATTGGCCGTGTAGTGTTTGTAGTTCTCAATGTGCAAGGTAGTCTACATACAGTCTTGTTAAATGAACTTGAAGCGTCACCGACACTTCCCGAGGTCTAGTTGGATTCCCAATCCCAACAGCTGAGTCCGAGGTCGGTTTGAATTGTGTGACCACATGTGCTTCAAGTTTGTCTACCATTACATTTAGTATTGACATTAATGAATGAAGTAGTCTTCCGCTGAAACCTACAAATCCATGTCATCTACATTAATATGCTCCACCAGCAACTTCTTAGGCCAGGCGATCCACGGTTTCCAGTGCTCGTCTAACGCAGTCTCAACCGCCGTCATCATTTTGGAGCTCCTTCCTTTATTCATCCGTTGTTTATGTTCAAATGGTCTGGTAAAAGTAGTATAGTGGGCGAGTATAACTAGGGCAACATGATGATGGTTGCTAATCAAGTCAACAAAGAACGAAGGCAAAGAAACTGGCCAAAGCCACATACGACGCCCGCGAGTCGCCGATTGATCTGTCGCACAAGCAGTGCAAGTGGTCTTGAGAGACTCAATGGCTAGTAGGCACGAGGACTGGGCGTTCATTGCCTCCAGAGTCAGGTCTAGCTCTCGAGTGAGCTCGAAAAGTTGATCTAAGCGACGCTGAAACGGACCGGCGTGTCCAACGAGCAATGGCATTGTATACCCGAAGAGCGGTCCCAGAGGTCCAGCTTGGGGGAAAGCCTCTACCGGCTTGAATGCCAGCCTGCCCTTGATGCCCTGAACCAGCATGAATGAATGCGCAATATGCATCGTGCTGACACGTGATAAAACACATGCTGATGATGAAAAGGAATGTCGCAAGAAAGATGTACGGTTCAAAGCTGCCTTCATTAACATCCTGCAGCTTGACAGTAAATGCTTGCAAATCAATAACTTGATATTGTGATGAGATGAGAGCGAACTCATCGTGCTGAGCGTCGTGGGTTTGAGCGTAATAAAGGGCAGATAACGCAATCAGCCCGTGCATGAGAAACTCCTACTATGCAGTCAACATCGATGTTGGAGGTGCCCAGGTAATCGAAGAGACCATACGTGAGTAAATGCTGTTTCTGGGACCACTTCCCTCCATATCACAGCCGTAGATTCTTCATCTTCGAGGATAGGGCAAATGACGACCTGTGTAATGGTGGAGCAGGCGCACGCTTTGCGTCCAGGTCCCAAAAGGAGGTGCATAAGCCTCTCTATTCGTCGGACTGTGGATAGACAACGTCGGCAACCCTCCTGGAGTCGGAACGCTCGGATCGACACTTTGGACCGGCCTCCGTTCTTGGATTGCGGAGTTACTTGACGCCGGGAACTGCAGTCTAGGCTCGTGGTCTAAGCTGCAAGTTTGCTCATACCTGATGCAATTGGCACAAGGACGTTGCTCGTCGCACTGAGTTATGTCAATGTCAGTTTTTGATTCGTCACCAAAGCAGCTTCTCGGAAGGATGTGACATGTTTGTGAGACGAGGTTTGGTGTGTGGGAAATGTTCATACCTTCACGTGACGCGCTTTGCAACGAGCACATCCCTTCCGCGATTTTCTATGGCCAAGCCTTTTGCGATTTACGTTCATATCCGGTTCGCGATGTAGGGTGCCTAGGAAGAATTTGAAATCAGTCAAATTGTGATGGTTTGTGGTCGAGGAGGAAACAAGGTCTACTGCTCGTAACATAAACGAATACGTCGTATTCTGGGAGGTCGTCAACCTTGTTTACGACAATACGGCGGCAGTTCTACTGCGTGATTCATGTGACACTATGAGAAGACGTATTGGCTTTCATTAACGAGTTTTTTTTTTCAAAATTTTGCCCATCGACTTCCCATTATCTGAACTTGATGCACATAAACTCAACCACATTATTATTTCGCGCCCTAATCACGCGAGGCTTCGCGATATCTTCCTGCTTCGAACTTCCGAAGATTTCTCAATGCTCAAATCAAGTTGGTAGTCGGCTTCTCCAGCTATTATCACGAACGTATCTCATCAACCCGACCTCAGCGATCTTCAGTGACCGTGGTTCCCACGAGAGTTCCTCGACTGCCTAGAGCGCTTCGAGTCTGCAGATGCAACCGAGTGGTATGAGTGAATGGAATCTTGGCAGCCTTTGCCACAGTGCCCCGCGTCCAGCTTTTCGTGATTCTTCCTGTGGTTGATCTCATCCTGCCTGGTGTTGTGCTCTCCCCTTGACGCCCTCGAAGATCTCTGCACTCCATAGTCGTGGCCGTTGTTATGATGGTCATAGCCGTTGCCATTTGTATGGTAGTTGTTGCCGTGATAATCGTTGCCATTCGTATGGTAATTTTTCCCATGATAATCGTTGCCGTTGGTATGATAGTTGTTGCCATGATAATCGTTGTGATGGACATCATTGTAGTTAGTGGGATGATGATCCTTGGGGTAATAGGTGTTGGTTCTGAGGGTCCTATCGTCATAATGGCCGTTGTTATGATTATTATAGCCATTGCCAGTCGTGTGGTAATCCTTGGGGTGCCAGTTGTTGTACTTGTCATCCTGATGGTTGTAGTTGTGGTAATCCTTCTCCCGAGCGAGCCTCGAATCCTTGGATGCCACAGAGCGGTACGAGTTCAGAGAAGCCTCGCAGTGAGTACCGCAGTTGTGGTTGTCCTGCTTGACGAGGTTGTCTCTGTACTTCCAGTCATCCGCGGGCGTGTTGTGTTCGCCCCTCGAAGCCCGGGAAGATCTTTGGACGCCGTAGTTATCATGGTGGTCAAAGTTGTTGGCATGGTAATCTGTGCTCCGGTCGTAGTATGGCCTGTGTTCTCTGGACACCCTGGAGCGGTACGAATTAATGGAGCGATAGCAGTCCTTGCCGCAATTGTTGGCGTTGAGCTTGGCTAGGTTGTCTCTGTACTTCCAGTCGTCCTCAGGTGTAATGCCTCTGGCATCCACAATGTGGTAGTCTGGGTCGATTCCGGCGGCCGCAGCTTCGCTTCTTGCTTGAATATGAGGCTCATCTCTGGCGTGGATTTCGGGCTCCAGATCGAAGTTGTCTAGAGCAGCTTCATCTCTGGCCTTGATTGAAGGCTTGTCATTGAGCTGGATCTCGGGTTCCAAATCATAGTTGTCAAGTGCGGCCTCGTCCCTGGCTTTGATCCGAGGCTCTTCTCTGGCTTCAACTTCTGGCTCGAGATTGACCTTGTCGAGAGCGGTCTCGTCTCTAGCTTGTAGACGAGGGGCATCTCCCGGTTGGGTCTCTGGCTCCAGGTCCCAGGCATCAATCGCGGCTTCGTCTCTGGTCTGAATCTCTGGCTCTCTCTCCCAGTCAGAGACATCGACGATGCTCTCACCGCGTGCTTCAATGTTGGGCTCCCCTTCGACAGCTTCAGCAGCAGGGTCAGCCCTGAAGACATGAACTGGGGGATGAATAAGACTGGGAAGTACCGCGACAGGTACCGCGGTTACGCTGGCCGTGAGTACGGCCAAGGCGATGGTGGTGAGGAAACGCATGTTGCAAGTTTTGTGAGAAAGAATGGTCAGGTATAACTTGATCGCTAGTATAGGTAAAGGGTTATATGTGATGAAGATGGATAGCTGAGAGGCTCTTAATTGACCATCCAAGGCTCAATCAGATTGGCTTGTGATAAGAAGCACACTGTGGGATAATAGAAGATACAGCCTGGCCTTTATACTTGTTAATGTTGGACTCTTGGTGAGCCTCAGTTGCTTGAACCACGCCGAGAGGAAATACGAATAAGACTCCTCGAGCCGACTTCTGCATCTCGGCATCAAAATCTCATGATCACTTTCTTTCTCCGTCGGCCTCCTTCGGGATATGAGAAGAACCGCTTAGAAAAGGTAGCGTAATGGTTGAGTCAACTTTTGAGGTTGTTGGCGCCGAGTTTGAAACTAAACTAACATGGTGGATTCGTCTTTTGAGTTTTTCGAATGGCGGTATCATGAGTACAGTAGTGCCGCCTATGAAAATCCAAGGACTGTCGGGTACCGGGATGAGAATCTGGTTGAGCCCAGGTCTAGATGTGGCCTAGAGTTAAGGGGCAATCCAGGGACCAACTTGGTTATCTCTAGAAAGCAAGCTTCGGGTCGACGCAAGCGTCGTGTGTAATTAAGGCCGGTCTGCATGCTGCGCATAATGGCAACAAGCTTACTTGATAGTGCATCGGAGGTCAGGATCCAACTTCCCCCTCTTATCTGTAGTTGAGTTGAAGTCAAACAAAGCCGTTTTTGCGAAGAAGCTGGTCCGGTTGAGGAGATATTTACGCGGGCAAGGGAGCGTAGTGCGAAGCTTAGAACATGCCATTCGGATAGCTTCGTGATTGGCACAATTCTTCTAATCTCCTAGACCTAGCTCAAAAAATTCATGTCCGGCATGGACTAAACACTATTTCACGATCCAGCGTGGAGAACTTTTACCAACCTTTCAACCGGAGTTGGGAATATGTTGACTATCATTGATTCATGCGCGTAGATCAGTCACCAATCTTTCGATTCGGTTTGACAAACTTGCAAAATTTTACAGCATGCAAAGACGAGCTTAAAGAAGATTCACTTGTAAGCTGTAGAAAAAGCCGCACCGGCAAACGTAAACGCGTCCGTCTCCACCAGCTCATCTAAGTGATCCGAAGTACGCTGTTTCATATCGCATGTCGTTCGTCAATGACATTTCCATGTTGTTGAGTTGACATTTCTGAGCCAGGGTTCCAGGATGACGGAACCTCTGCAGATCATTGTCCCGGCACGGCGAAAGCTTCCTACACGTGGGTGTGGGTGGGCGCTCACGCATGTGCATGGTAGCCTCAACAGGCTCAACTGTATGTTGGTGGCCGCAGTCTGCAGAGCTTCGGTGTCCGAGGAAGTAGACTACAGAAATTCTGCCCCGAGCCGTGCGGACACCTGGACAAAAATTACGGTCCGAAGCTTCCCAGTAAGATAGCCCCTAGAATTTGGGAGATCGTGCTCGTTCCTTTGGTCAGCCAGTAGACGGTTTGATGTCCCAGCTGGAAGCGCAAGGCCGTGCGATGAGAACCTAATCTGCCCAACCAAGCTTCTCCAGGATGACAGCTCCAAATCAAAGTAGCCCATCCAGGGCATCAAGACGGATAGTGTCGATCATAACTGACATTCCCGAACTCACAGACACTAGAATGGGATGTCCAGGCCCGAGGATCCTCCACAAAGTGCGAGTGTTGACTGGGCGTAACAGGCCTGAGGGAGCTCGGAGCGCCTGATTGTTCTTCGGACGGTCTCGCCATCAACAGAGCTACCCCGCGTTGCCCCTCTTTCCCAAGCCAGAAGAATCCTAAAGAAGGTTCCGCCGACGACGATAACGACGAAGGGCCGCGCGGGATGCCGGTGGGAGTTGCCACGGTCGACGAGATGGAGATTCCGCCTCGGCGTCGCTTTCATGGTCCCGTTGGATAGGCACGTCGAGCAGCATATGATCGTTGATGGCGGAGTCGGGGACAGAGTTTGGAAGCGATATAGTTACCGTCATGAATTCCGACTCGAGGGCACCAAAGGCACAAGGTCCATGTAGGTAGTCAAGAGCGCATGCTTCCAATCACGGGGGCTCGGAAATTAAAATCGGGTTGACTGCTGAGGGGCAGCATGTACCTAGATCGAACCTTGATTCAACGGTGTGCTGTGGACATGGGGAGCTCAGAGACGCGTGGACGATTGTCGGTCCTTACTCATGGTGAAGGTTGAGGTCGGAGAACCTGACTTGACTGTGAATCTGTGATGCGAGCGACCGAGATGCCGGCCCCACGGCGGGCAAGCGTGGGAAGTGGGATACAGTTGCACTGCAAACGTCTCCCAATAATGAAAAACTGTTATGCCGTGAACCGCCTTCCCGGGTCCTGACAACCTCTACTTCCAAGCCATCGACGCCAAGATGAGCATTCATAGCGCCAAGATGATGCTCTTAACGCCAAGTTGCTTGGCCAAAGCAGCTGCGCAGGCTTGAAGGACTACAAATGCTCAGCTCTTGCCCCTAGAAGCCATATTCTTCTTCGCCATGAAATTTCTCATACACCACTACGTCTAGCGTGGCCTGGGAAGCGGGCTCACTCTACAGCAACAAGCTTCTACGACCTTACTCAGCGCAAAGAAATATCATCTCAACATCAGGCGCAAGCAGCCTTGAATTGCCAGCCGGCCCCCCGAACTTTGTCCATTCTCGACCAAAGCTAATCATATCGCACTTAGCAAGTTCTGGCCTGTTCCTCGGTTTTAGGAGCATCATTATGTCAACTCGACTGACATCCAAGGCGCTAGTTGGCGGGCGCTCGAAGAAAGCCTCTCCGAGCATCCCATCCTCGGACGGGAAGTAAATGCGAGTATTCGCGAGATGCATTCTAGCATTGTTAAGTACTTCGGCCTGGAGCGGAACACTCGGAACGATTACCTTGTTTTCGTCTCATATGTTCCAACCATGGTCCAAAGAACTCGCTCAAGCTGTCATGGGGCCAAAGCGATTACGCAGCTCGACTGGCCGACCCCTCATGATCGTCTATGCCTTGGGCAATGCACCTCGGATTCTGCTCCGGCTCGGGCTTGCTCAATCGATCACATATATCTATGATGAGTAACAGCCAATTTGCGCATGCAGCGTATCATCAGTCTGACTACAGCTCGGTTAGTTATAGTTCCAAGTTCGGCGCGCAAGATATCTTTTCTACGGCGGTCTCTGGAACTTTCCGTAGAAGCTGCCAGGAACAAGTTTAAAGCCTTCCAAAAACAGGTTTCCGCGCAACTCTTTCTTAAGTGAGGCTGCTTGCTTTACTTGAATGGACGCTTGATATCACACTTAGGACGTAGTAAATCGGATATTTCTATAAGAAGCATCGAGGTACAGTGCCGCGCAGTTTAAAAAGAGAAAGCGGAAATTTATAGCCCCGATGGAGGGCAGAGCCGGCCTGTGGTTGTAGTCTACTGGCTTGATGCAAAAGAGACTTTGCTTGGAATTTCAAATTCCCAGAGACAATCCTGAGGAGGAAAAAGGAAATAAGAAAGACGTGATTAATAAAAGATGATCATCTCAAGGCAGGGCGGGATTTAACCGCTATAACTCCCCGAGGTGGGCTCGAACCACCAACCTCCAGATTAACAGTCTGACGCGCTAGCCAATTGTGCCATCGGGGATTTGAGATGTGATTGGTTGAGAGTTCTGGAGCCCACAGGAGCTCAAGACGGAAGCGGGCTACCCCGCAGCGCAGTTCAGATATCGCGCGAGATCACGAGATCGCGAAAAGGAGAAAAAAAAAAACCGAACGAGAGAGAGAGAGAAAGAAAGAGAGAAACGCAACTTGACCCTTCAGATTAGGTGCAAATGCCCTAGATCCTCAAATTATCTCATGAGAAGTTGCCGGATTCTATCTGACAGCAAGTAGCAAACTCCGCACATCTAAAGATATGAATTGAGCTTGGCTGGAATGAAGTGACAGGCTTTTCTATTGAACTGGAGGTTGTCAAGCAAACCCAATCTTCTCATGGGCCGACCATAGAGCGAGCAAAAGGCTGAAACGCTTTGATCATGTTATCACCCGTAATGATCTTTCTCTAAGACTCGTTCCTGAGATGAACCTCACCAGTTCAACCATTTTCTCGTTATAAGGTAAGCGATGCAACTATCTAACCTTCAGCGTAGCAGAGTTGTCTTTAGTAAGTCCTCTTTTTCTCATCCGTAGATCAGACTCAATCTAACAAGGAGAACCTCTACATCTGCCAAGACCCTTCGTGCAGCTACGCCACCAATTTTCCACCACTGGCATCGATGCCCCTCATCCCACGCTCAACCCCGCGTAGGTCATCGCACATCATGTCCTCGGGTGAACGTCGCCCGCAAGCGATCATTCAAAATACCCTTCAAGAATGCGATATCATCCTTCTCGGCTGGCAAGCTGACCTTCAATTATCCCTCTGGCTCTCTCATCCATCGCTTCTTTTCCTCCACACATCAACATGTCACTCTCCGACCACGCACAAAAGCTCACCAGCACGCTCGAGCAAGCCAAGCTCGTCCCGGGCTCGGCGGCGGCGCTGATACCAGAGAGCTTCCAACCGACGACTAAGCTGGAGGTCTCGTTCGCGGACAAGGCTCTGGATGTGGGCAACTTTTTCCGCGCAGGCGAGTGCAAGCTCGCGCCCAGCATCTCGTTTGCGGCTGAGGAGGGAGCCGAATCGGGTGCCTCGTACACGCTCTTCCTGACGGACCCGGACGCACCCACCCCGGACAACCCGCAGTTTGCGTTCTGGCGCCATTGGGTTCTCCCCGGGCTTCAGCCGCTTAGCGGAGGCGCGATTGTCGCGCAGACGAAGCCGGCGTTGACCGAGTTTCTCGGACCCGGACCCAAGGATGAGTGAGTTGAGCCTCCATCTGCGGGACTTGCCCAGCCACGATCTCAATGGCTTGAGCAACCGACTGAAGAATATCTCCTGACTCTGTCTTCTCTCTAGCTCGAAGCCGCACAGGTATCTCTTCCTGCTCTACCGGGAACCTCAGGGACTGGATCTGAAGAAGGAGGATGTCGGCGGAGAGGAGTTCGTGCAGAGGCGCTCATGGAAGCCTGCTGAGTTTGCCGAGAAGCATGGCCTGAAGCTCGTTGGAGTAAACTGGATGACCTGCGCCGGCGATGGCTGGACGGAGTGAGGCACGATGGTCGGTTCGTCTGGCAGATGCAGCTCGGGAGTCCAATACCAAGGCGTCACGAGCCATTGAAGAATGTCCGCGAGACAGTACTATTCTTCAAGCTTTTTAGACCGATGGCTCACATGATCAACTTCTCGAGGGGTCGTCCTAAGTCCTCGCTGATGGTACAGGGAGTGACGGTGGAGATTGCATGGGCGGCGAGATTCGACGGCATCGTCATTGCAAATCATCGTGTCGCTGGTCCTGTAGTCTAGCAGATTATGACGCTGGATTCTGATCACAACATGATTGTGTCCTTTCGTAAGCAAGACCAAAATCGAATATAAATATAACCTGAATCCTGAATTCCTCGCCGTCACATCTCCTTTTTCTACTCGTGCTGGGTCTGAAGTCGGATCTTTATGAAGCTGTAGAGGTTAAAAGGAATCGAATTGGCCATTGCTTGCAAGCCTTAGAGTATGCACGTCCGTTGCGTGCATGCTTGGGCGTCTTAGTGGTCTGTGCCAAGGGGCTTCAGGGCCTGGGGTCCGCTGCGATCTGAATCTCAGTGAGTGCGTCCCTGAATCGGCGCTAACTATTTGGTGTTTACCAGCCAAATGTGTGAACTGAAATGAGGTTTGAACCACTTTACTCCCAGACGCGTCTTCCCGTCGCGTCTTTAACCATCACCATGATCCAACGTCACCTAGTCCGTCGGCAAAGCTCACTTGCAGCAGCCAAGAAGATTTTGGCGCAAGCCGACAGCGAGCCAGATGTCGAAATCAAGAAGCCGGCGTCTAGATCACGCTCGGTAGCAACCAGAAAGTCTGCACCTGTATCACCACCAGCATCAAAAGACGCGTCGGAGGAAGACTTCAACCCAACTGTTCAAGACGACGACGGCGACGATGTGAAGGACATCACCGAGCCACCGCCAAAGCGGCGCAAGATCGAGAAGAATCCCAAGGCCCGAAAAGCAGATGCTGCGAAACTCCATGCGCGACTCTTTGGTCCACCACAGCAGCAGCCGGCAACACAAAATGCCTGCTGCTCGCCTGCGGCATCAAGGACGCACGCGACCTCCTACCACCGACCTCTCCTCCTAGACGGCCAAACAGGCCGGCGCGAGCGCGACGCTCTCCTCACCTGGTTTGACTCCATCAGCACAACCCGCGGCATGCCCTGGCGCAAACCGTGGATCGACCCTGCAAAAACCTCGCCAAACGACGCCGCCGACCTCCGCAGCGCCCTCGAAAAGCGCGCCTACGAAGTTTGGATCAGCGAAATCATGCTTCAGCAGACCCGCGTCGCCGTGGTCATCGACTACTGGAACAGGTGGATGGCCCGTTGGCCCACGATCCAGGACCTCGCGGCCGCCGAACCTGAAGACGTGCTTAGCGCCTGGCGTGGGCTTGGCTACTACAGCCGCGCCACGAGGATCCACGAGGCGGCGAAGCTGGTCGTCGCGGACCCGGCTTGGCGCGGTCTGATGCCGTCCGACACGGCCGAGCTCGAGGCAAAAGTCCCCGGCGTGGGGCGGTACACGGCCGGTGCTGTCGCTGCTATTGTGTTTGGCGAGGCGGCGCCCATGGTTGATGGTAATGTGCTTCGCGTGTTGAGCCGGCAGCTGGGGTTGTATGGGAACGCGAAGACGGATAAGGCTGTCATTGATCTCCTCTGGGCAGCCGCAGATGCGCTTGTCAAGGCCGTTGCAAAGGACGGACCCAACGAGGATGATGCAGAGCTTGCTGAGAAAGCGCCGCTCAGCGACCGTCCTGGACGATGGGGCCAGGCGTTGATGGAACTTGGGAGCACCGTCTGCACGCCGAAGCCGAACTGCGGCGAGTGTCCCGTCACCTCCACATGCCGCGTGTACGCAGAGGGTCTGCAAATAGCAGCCAAGAAGTCGAGGAAGGCGGTTGAAAAGGTTGAGGATATCGAGGACCTCTGTTCGGTGTGCGAGCCATTCGAAGAAGCCGCTATAGACGAGACCACGCTCTCAGAAGAAGATTCTGAAGCTGATACGCTCAAGCGGAAGCCGGCAAAGGGGGCTAAGAAAGGCGCCAAGACGCAACCGGGGCCAAAGCAGGCGACATTATCCGCCTTCTTCACCTCAAAAACAGCAAAGAAGAAGGAAGAAGAGGAGACAGAGCAGTTCAAGGCAGCCCAGGTTGATGCTAGAACGCTAGAGGTCGTTGCAGAACACGCTCGAAAGTTCCCACTCAAGGTGGTCAAGAAGGCAGTCAGAGAGGAAGAAGCCCTCGTCTGCGCGATCCGGCGCGGCGATGATGGCCGTTTCCTGATACACCGACGCCCGGAGAAGGGACTCCTTGCCGGGCTGTGGGAGTTGCCCAGCCACACACTGCCGTCCGCCGGCGGCTACACTGCGACGTCCCGGAAGAAGGACGCTCAGGGGTACGTCTCGGGACTTATCGCCACTGGGGACAAGAAGAAGCCGAGGCTGAGACATTCCGGGGAGTTGGGTAGCGTGCCGTGGCTGTTTTCTCATCTGAGGCTAACGATGCATGTGCACCTCTTCGAGGTAGACGGATCTGAAGACCTCGTCTCGTCGCATGTGAGGCATCGTTGGGCTACGGCTGAGGAGGTCGATGAAGAGTCTATGGGAACCGGGATGCGCAAGTCCTGGGCTTTGGTGAGGGAGAGATTTGAGTAGTCCCCTCATAGCATGTATGATTGACGTATCTCTCGAGTATGGCTTCAAGGCGGAGTTAACCGTTCGGAGAAGAACCACCGAACCTGGTTGGAAGGGTATGACAGCGAGTTGAAAATACCAAGTCAATCAGAGATACTGGGAGACCAATGATGATCACACGGATGAAGAAGGGGTGCTTAATATACCTAGGTATTCTTTCGTCAGTGTTCATGATGTATTGTCCTCTCCAATCAAACCGGCACAAGAGTGAAGGGTTGGCCCTCTGATGTGGATAATGAGAGCATCCAATATACCTGCCAATGAGACTAGAATAGATACATTCCATTTTTCTGAACAAGCTTTGTTCACGAAAGGTACGTAACGACAAGTCCCCGACTTGTAGCTTGGTTGTACTTGTATAACCAGGGCAAATGGCAGAAAGGTTCAGCCCGTAACATCACACATGGTCACGAAGTCAACCCACAATAACTATCTCAAGTGTTTATGATTGACCCCTCTCCTTACACACCATCTCTCATCTCTATGATCGTGTTGACGAATACGGCAGGGAAGGAACGTCAAGACCTGGGCCAGGCGACCTCTTGGCTGCCTGCCAATTCTCTGCCACTTGCATAGCATTTGTTATAACTCATCTGTAAATGTTACTATGGTCTTGGGTGGTTATTCTCGATGCCATTCCGCCGTTCTCGACGAGTGCGAGCGTACTGGTGCCGTGGCATGTGAAACGATGTGATGGCAAATATAGATATATAGATATACTTCTGCATGGACACCTCACAATGACCTTGCCATTCCTGAGCTTAAGAAACTTCTCAACAGCCTCATGTTAGCTCATAAGTGGGCGACGTCCCCAAGCGATGCTGACTGGTGAAATCCTGGGAACCCTGTAGATACTTGCTCGTCAACAAACTGCAGGTACGGCCGCAACCCGCCAAAGAAAAAGTTGGTGTTGGTCTTCTTCCCGGGAATGTTCTGGCTCAAAATCCAACTCGGCGTCTTGGCGAATAGAGACCCCTTAAGCATGCCGTTGCACAGCTCTACCCAGTCTGACTCCGCTTGCGCCTTTGCCTCCATGATCATCGGCTTCCGTGGACTTGGGTTCGCTTCTTTGCCCGAGCTACTTCCTTCCTCGTCTTCTATTGACGAAATTTCTACTAGCGACCCCTCGGCATGCTGTATAATCGACATGATGAAGTTGACCTCACACTCCACGATGGGAGGGAAATTAGCAAAAGGGCTCTGCGGTCCAGAGATGAGAAACATGTTGGGGAATCCAGCGCAGGCAACCGCGCCAAAGGTCGTAGATCCGCCACCCCAGTGATCTTTCAACGTTCCGTTTCGACCCGCGATGCGGATTCTCGTGTAACTGCCGTCAACTGCCTCGAATCCCGTGGCAAAGATGAGCACATCGACCTCGAGGACGGTTCCGTCTGCCAGCTCGACGCCTTGAGGGATCAGACGACTGATGCCATTGGCCTGGAGATCCACTACGTCGACGTTATCGCGGTTGAAGATTTGGTAGTATCCAAAGTCGCATAGTGGACGTCGGGCATACGCCTCACGGGGCTTCAAGATTTGCGCCTTACAAGGGTCCTTGACAATACCATCGATTTTGCCACGTATGAAGTCGCAGGCCGCCTCGTTGGCTTCTCCGTCGGTGACGATATCGCCAAAGGCGCTGAACATGAAGCGGAACCCGTTGCCCTGGGACCATACCTCCTCAAAGGCCTGTTTCCTTTCTTCAGGCGTGGCGTCCGTTGCCTTACGAGTTACTTCTGGGACGCCGAATCCCATCCTCGAGGACCAGACGTTGTCCCAGATCTTGTCGTAGTCTGCGTTGATCTTTTCGCGATAGTTGGGGTCGACTGGACCCTGGCCGCTGGGCACCGAGTATTGCGCCCGTCGTTGGAACAGGGTGAGTTGGCCCACGATGGGCGCGATTGCCGTCATGACCTGGACGCCGGTCGAACCGCTGCCGATGATGCCGACTTTCTTTCCCTTCAGCTCGATGCTGGCATCCCACCTTGCTGTGTGACAAGTGATGCCCTGGTAGTCTTTCAAGCCAGGAATGTCTGGATAGTTCGCCTTGGAAAGCACACCAAGCGAGTTGACGAGGTATCGAGCATGATATACGGTCCTCTCGCAGCTGCTCCCAATAGAGGAGCACCCGATCCGCCAGCGACGTATACTGTCGTCCCACGTTGCCGACTTCATCTGACAGTTGAAGACCATGAACTTCCGCAAATCATGCTTCTCCACAACATGTTGGAGATATTTCAGGATCTCCGGCTGGTAGACGTAGTGTTGCGACCAGGGGTACGTTTGCAGGTCGTCCTTGTCCCAAGAGTAACGATACAGGTAGCTCTCTGTATCGCTCATGGCGCCGGGATATCTGTTCCAGTACCACGTGCCTCCGACGTCACTAGCCATTTCGACGGTTCGGACTTTCATATGCGGTTGCATGCGGGATAGACGATACGTTGCGTAGATACCGCCGAATCCCGCCCCCACGACGAGGGCGTCGACCTCGATAGGCTGGACCATTGTGTCGACTCAGGTGCGTGGAATATTGTTGTCAGAGTCTCGCGTCACATACAATTACAATGATGATGCATATGGCACAGTGGAGTGTTTGGATAGAGGGCCGAGTCTCGTCGTCTGAAGTAGGGAGAGCGGGGTTTACGACTACGATGGAAGATGTCATCCGCAGGCCAAGAAGCCTCCGGGTGAACTCATAAGATTGTGCTCGAAAGGTAGGATGAATGTAACCGCGACGCCATCGAAAAGGCAGAGCCGCCCAGTGAGCATTCATCTGAACTTCAGGTGGAAGATTCACTCATGCATTTCGACACTGCTAGCGAATCGGATTCCGTTTGAGGACTGATATGCGGAGGACGGCCCGAACCACTCTCCACATTGAGTGCGCCGAGCAAGACATTGACACATCGACGTACCGGTCACTGAAGCATTCGGTATCTCGTGTTTGACAGCCAAGTCACCGGTGCATCATTGGGTTTCCCAGTTGAGCCGCGTACAGCGGGCGGGGTAAAAGCATAATACCACGGTGTGCCCCGATGTATGAAAGATTGCACGTTTTCTCATGACCAATGGTAATTTTGTAGGAAATATCCAGCAAGAAGTCTGTTATCTACTGAGCAAAGTGTCTTTATTTCTCCCGGATGCGCATGTCAAATTCTTGACTTGATTAATGCTATGTTGCCACTGGTCGAGTTTGTTGCCGATTGATGATTCTTCCATCGACATGACTGCAAACCTAGTCAACTTTGATGTTACCTGCCTTGGGTGTGCATTCATTTCGATTCCCAATAGGTAGCCTCTTCAATTTCCAATGCCTCCCAATCTGCGACTTATCGCTCATTGGTATTCCCAAACGCTGGCTTCGCATGGTTAGCCAGGCTGGTGTTCGGGCGTAGAAGGTTTGGGCTCTCAATGTAAACTACAAGTTGGCCGTGGCCATTATAGCCTGGCTTTTCAAGGTCCAACTGTTCATCACCTCTGGTTATTGTGTATAACTTCTGCACATTGCGATAAGAGGAGGTCAATGATCATCAAGCACCATGGCATTCCAGTCATTGAATCTTACTTGTACTTTGCAGCTTGCATTCATTTACTTGACGTTTGAACTCTCTGAGCCAACTTTTCTTTAGCGAGCCTTTATCTTAGGGACAGAAGTGTGTACGATTAGTGTCAATTTACTGTCAGAGTCTTCAGAGGTGAGTGTTAGGAACACGAAGTCTATCTAGGAGAGGAAAGTTGCAAAAAGATGACCCTCAAAGTCATGATGACAAGATTAACAAAAGGATTGGGCCCTAACCAGGATTCGAACCTGGGACCTCTCCCAGATGGTTGTATCCGAAAATGCACCCTAAGGGAGAATCATACCGCTAGACCATCAGGGCGAATAAGGGTTGAGTGGAGAACTCTATGGATTGCGGACACCGGAAGGGAGTCTATGATGATTTCACGATGTGTGGGGTGGAGTTTTGACATGGGTGATGACGGTAGACAGAAAGTGGGACATGGGGGGCTGACCACACTGAGTCACCGAGGCTGAGTCTTACCGGTGAAGATTGAGTAACAACAATTAGTTGAACGTAAGGAACCAGCGGGGCTAGCAGTTTGACGGGATTGTAGACCTTTGCTCCTCCTGTAGCTTGTGTGGAAAAAATTCATTTGGGGGAAATGTCATCAGATTCGAACCTCGGTGTTCTTTGGAAAAAGAATTCAACAGCGCGGTAAGCCACTCAACATGAGTCAACTGCCGTCAACCGTCACTTGCTAAGTAGTCTCTTAGAGAGTCGCCTCGCGAGGCCATGCGGCTACTTGAATTTGGTTGGGGCGTGAATATCATTCACCACAACAACTTTTCAATTCTCTCCCTCGGAAAGACCTTGAGCAAGCTGAGCTTCCATACTCGCAAGTAGCCTTCAAGTCTCTTGACCAGAGACAGACCTCCTTGTCCGCTGAGAACCTCACCTTGGCTGGATTCACAATTAATTGAATCCAATTGAGACCAAGAGAGGATGTTGCATGCTGCCAATGCAATCGACATTTGATTAATAAAGTAACAAGTCGGGCCGTAAACTTGAACCTGTTTCGCATGAATGACGATGCTCGGTCGATTTGAGAGTTTTTCCAGAGTGGAAGTACTTCGTAGTTTAATTGTGACAGTCGCTATCTTTGATGAACTTATGAAGTCCCAGAATTGTCAAGAAAGCGCGCGACATTACATCTGACAGCTTTATGATTAGACTCATCCACGTGTTGTCTAGAAAATAACGTCTTGGGTCATCCCTTGCAGATGCCACATCGTGACTCATCGCGACTTTTCGTAGCTTGGGTATCCTGGCAGATAGCAAAGGAAAAGCCTCAAATGAAGTGGAATTCAGTTTCGTCATAGTTGATTGTGGTTGCAATATCTGTGTTCATGCTTAATTAACCTCACCGTCTCCTATATTCGTACCGAAACGTGTAACGAGTACCACGTGAGGATTTACTCCTGAGACCGTGGTGAGCTGGGGTTGAGCGACGCAAAGAGTCATAGTCTTTGCTCAACTTCGAAATCCCAACTTTGTAATATTCCACACGTTCAACTGCGGTGGTCTGCACATCGATAAACAGTACGTGTTTAAACGATCTAAAAGAAAAACAACTACCAAATGCCGCATTTCAAGATACCAAATGTCACAGGACGTGCCAGTAGCTTTTTCCTCTTCAGTACGCATAGATGTGATTACTCAACGAACCATAATGCCATCCGTTAATGATGGGGGCGGAAACGAGTTTTCCACGTTGCGGCTTGCCGCACGGCTTCGTAGACTGAACTCAAATCTTGTTTCTGCTATTGCGACCGAGCGTCGATAGGAACATGGGAGCTTCAAACTCAATATTGGGCCAAGACAAGTTCTTTATCTCAGAAGTTCCTTCTATCACGAATTAATCAAGGCCACCTGATAGAAGGAAACATCCAACGTGCCATTTCGGAAATTTGCAGTCATCCAAATGAGAAATTCAACAGGTCTTGGTGAATAAGCAAGAACATGACACGAGAGTCTCTTCACTCTTCATCCGTGAAATTTCACTCAGTTAGCACCAGAGCGCAGTTTCGGGATCGCCAAAGTCGCTCGACATGAGTTGAGTCAACTTGGATGTTTGTTCCTGAGAATGACACCGTTGCACCGCAGTCAATCAAACCTGGCTCAGTATCTCCTTTGTAATCCTTCAAATTTGATGCTTATGATTTTCCGCCAATTGCCAGCAATTCCAGATTAAAAGCGCCAATTTAATACAAACTCTATGTGCGAGGCCCGAGAGGTTCGAGTAGTCACATCAGACTTAGCCTTCGACTTCTTCAAATGTACACGTGAGGGTAATTACAGACTCGACACATTTGGAACACGAGAACTACTTGTCAGTACGTATCCCTGCCTAAAGTCCAACGGCCTTTAAAAATGCGGTGAAGAGGATTTTGGCCAGGCGGTGACGAGCGTTTGCAATGTCATGCTACCGCTATTTCCCTGTCGGGTTCGCTTGGCGTGACCTAGAGTCTAGACATACCGAATAATGACAAGGCCAACGGGAAACTACCGAACGTTCCAGCGTTCACGGCTCTGAGCTGCTCCAGCCCCCAGGGGAACAGTCTGCGGACAAATATCGAAAGTCCAGAGGACGTTCGGCCATTACTTCGGTTCATCTAGACCGAGTGGAGGTCGCCACGCCGGTACTTTAGAGAGCTCTCCTGTTTCCAGCCTTGGAATGGATATTAGGGGGAGGGGCAAAGCATATGCAGCTTGAAATTCCCCTTGCAGCGGCACTGGTCCGGCGGTGGCCTGTCTGATGGAGCAGGCAATGCTCTACTAACGGGCGGCTTCCTCCGGCTACAAGCACCACAGCGCCCGCCGTTGAACAGGGTTGTGGAGATGTCTGTTTTATGAGTGGACGCTGCCTGGGCTCGTGGAGAGGTCGGAGACCAAACAGAGGGCGGAGGCTTGGAGTAATGGTCGCTTGGGATACCTTGGCGAAGCTTCAAGTATGACTATCAGAGGCGGGCTGATAGACCGCAACTTCTGTAACATCTTGTCCACAATAGCGCCTGAGCCCACGATGGCTGTGCAGCAAAATGGGTAAACTTGATGGATGATGGATCACTGGACCAACCATCAGCGAGATGCAAGGAAAGCGTACCCGTCTACCGACTCTCCGCCCGATTTCTCGCCATCATCTTTACAAACCGCTTCTGTGTGCGGATAGGAGTTTTTTGTTTGACAAAGAGAAGCCCAAGGTAGCAAAGATTGCGCTGGGGCTTTCTGTGTATTTGCATAGTAATACGGGCCTTGGCAAGGGTTCTGGTCTCGGCGCCATGGGTATGATGTGTCCAGGGCCATGAAGCAAGCAAATTGAGGATCGCGGACGCAATCGATCTCCGAAGGGCCAGATCAAGTTGTAATCATCACCGAAGCTTGAGCTGTGTTAAGCCTATCCCCGCAGCAGGTACTGTGGAAATCTAAGAAGAGGTGGCGTAGAAACTCATCTCATGCAATCCGGATGACCCGAGTCAGCGTCCCGGATGTTTTGTGCATTCTTCGCAGTCACAGGTTCGTCTTCAAATCACTATGCTCTTGGGCTTGGACAAGTCTAAACATGAGATGGAAAGTTGTGACTTTAGGTAAGCGGGGATGGAATCAATGATTGTCCCAAACTGGACTTGAGAGGGGAAAGGTGTAATTGGCCCGCAAAGTACGAGCTCAGCCCTTGGAAGTTCTCCCATGGGTAAATCGCCACAGATCCGTCCGAACACAGTGATCGCCCTGACGGCATCCCACTCATCCAGGAAGGGTGCGTTCTTTGCAGGTTGTATCTGCGGATGTGACTCTGTGCCTGAGGGTCAGGCGTAATGTTGTAATCGTGACATCCCAGCCCACATGCGGCAAGGCAATCTGTACGATGCGTGATCATGGGTGTAAGCAAGAGATAGCACAAGTTGACCTATAGTCAACAGACCCCTGTCTTAAGATCTTGCAGCTCATGAGAGGTGGTTGGGTGAGGTAGCAGTCCAGTGCGTAAAGGCGCTTGCTGCTGCTTCACAATGAAGATCAGGGGCCAACCTAGGTCGTTCACCTGAAAAGAGAGAATACAGATAGATTGCGAACAAGATACAACCTCCGCACATTAGGTATACGAGGAAAGGCAAAGAGTGCAATATCCGAGGAAACTGGCTCGTCTGTCTGGCGCGGCTGGTAAGAGTCTCCAACATAGAGCTCTGTGTTTTACATCCAAAGTGGGGTCTCTGACACGGGAGTGCAGAGCATGAAGCAAGAGAAAGAAGCCGGAGAAAAGTGCCACTCACACATGGTTGATCTCAATATGGCCCTGACATCCAGGTTAGCCCTTCCAGACTCTCGTGGGCAGTCAACCTCAATGTCGAAAATCTTGCGAGCCTTGATGGGCAATGTTGAATGCTGTCAGGCTGTAAGCGAAAGAGCCCAGGGGTCTCTGTAGGTCCAGCCTGGCTTTGGTACTTTAGCAGTTCCTATCCATTGCTTATTGTCCCGTAACCCCCTTTGGGGCGCAATCTCGGGGTGGGCTTCTCACACAAGGTCATCATCCACCCATGGCCCCGGGCCCCCTCAGCTAACAATTCTGGCCAGACTGTGACCGGGCGACTCCGACCCCCAAAAGCGGAGCGAGCGGCGAGTCGGGGGCCTTTTATGACCGATTGTGGTTCCTGGGGAGGCCTCCCGGAGCAGTCCGTACGGAAGCCGATGAATCTCTAAACTCGGCCGTCAGTATGAGCATCGCCGAAACGCAAAAGAGTACGTCAAGAAACGCCCAAAAACTCAAAAAAAACCACAGAGTTTTGGCTGGTTTCTCAAGCAAAACAAAGCTCTTTGCGATTGAGTTGTCTCGATTGGACCGGGAACCTCGGCCAGCGCAGCCCAAAAGTGTGCCGATCTATGGGTGCCAGAATGTCTTGGCACACTATATTGAAAAGTCTTGGCAACTCCTTTCTAGAATTTTCTTGGCACACATCACAGCCCATCACGTTTCTGGAGTGAGTGCCGTGGGCACGCACACAACATCCAACAGAACTTGAATCGTTTTCGCATTGGTGGAATTAGGTCCATGACTAGAACGACCGAACCTCACCAGGTGACGCCCCCTTGCCAGTCTGCCGGGCTCATCTGGTATGCCCCCCCTCGTGGGTCAATATTTAGTGTTAAGGTGACAATTTTGAGAGCATCCGATCTCCGCTCCCATCTTCGCCTAGGCCACGGGTTATCCGCCTTCCCAGGTAGTTCGGCAAACAAGCGAATTTTCACACGCTCACACCGCCAGTGCACAAAAACCGGTATCCGTTGTTTAACTATGTCTCGATGCAACGGGAATCGGAGCCTCGTCCGACAGGGCAGGCCCAAAAGCGATGGCAACGGTGACATTAAGAGCCTCTTTTGGCCTTTTTCGGATCCCGATGGTGCTGTTTCCGGCCTGCACAGTCGCATCCCACCCGCAATTCCAGACACAGGCGCGTTGGTGATATATTGTAGAACTGGAGATCATTTGACTCTATCGCGATTGTCGCATTATGTCTGGCGGGGTCTGTCTCGGGTTGTTTGCAATTTAGACATGTCGCAAAAGACCACCAAACTGATTCAGCACCTTTCAACTTTGATCCACCAGTGACGGCACTGGGATCTTGAACTTTGACAGTGGCATGTCGAATCTGGTTCAGATGAGCGCTGTCTCAGCGGCAACGTGCTTCTGCCGCCCCTTGTTGCTAGCGCATAGCCTGCATTGCGCTGGTCCAGCTTTTCGCTCTTCTTCGGCTCCAGCGATACCCCGGAAAGCTGATTAAGGTCAATAAGCTTGAACAGGGATGGCGACATGTGTCCATGGGGGCAGATTTTGCGGTCAAGGGGGGACTTGGGCTGCGCCGTGCACTGACGATATGCTGCCAGCAGCTGGGGGGAGATTCGAAAGAGATAATATCAGGCTTGCCACGGCTTAAAAGTGCCATCCTTGGTTAGCCGGGACCCTCAGTGTGCGGCAGAGAAAATCAGAGTTCGCGGGATCACGCTCCACCCCAAAACACGTCAGGCAGATTCCCCTAAACCTTCGAGAGGTTATTCGAAAAAGGGCTCAACCATGGCTGCAAGGAGCCAAGAACTCACAGACAACTACCGTAGTACCGATGTTTTGGGTATCAACTCTCGCTAGAATTCAAGAGGAAGCAGCTAGAACAGCAAGGACACTACCGCCGTCCATTGCCACTTTTTTGAGTCTCTCTCCTCCGACGCCAGTCCGTGAGGCCGGGAATTACTCAGGACCGCGGTAACGGGTCTTATCTAAATAGACGTTGGTTCCATCTCGAAAAGGCCCCAGTTCATCTCCCTTCGATATACAACCGAAACCAGGGTGCCGGCCAATGGGAGCTCTTCCCGCGCGCTAGCGACGGAAACATTGCGGATTCTGGCCGACAGTCTGCTTTTTGCGTCTTTCTGCTCACGGCATAAGCTCCGAGAGCGAGACACACTTTCTGCCAGCAGAGTGCTGCCCAGCACTGCAGAAATCCCCCAAACCTCTGACTTACTATCCGTAGTTTTCCCAAAGAGGACTCTCTACTGTGGATCTCAACTCCATCTTTTTGTACATGGTCTAATCTTCCAACTTACATACTAACCCTGTGACAGCCCCTGACTTGTTTCATGGTTAACCAGGAAGACAGCGCCACATTTTAGACAAATACGAAATGCGAGCCTACTCTGGATAAGCGTAAGTACCGGGTTTGCAGGGCAAAGAAAAGAGAGTGAGGTTCCAACTTGCTCATGTTCCCCATCTCCATGCCACATACAGCACCGTCATGGGTTAACCCCTGAGCCCATAGCCGTGGGCAAATTGTCGACGGGAATGCCTCCATGTCATCGTGTGTACCTCCTCGGACACTGGGCAGTCTTTCTGCCCCCTCGAACATTGAAACAGCTCGTCGCTGCACTGATGATTGCGGCTCGCCGAAGCGCCCGAGCCACTTTCTGATATCGGGGTGGATCATATGGACAGGGAAGGAAGGCTCTGCCCGAAATGAATCGACTGTTCCCTCGCTAACTCCCGGTCCTTGTCGATTCAGGCAGAGGCGAGGAGGAGGAGGAAGGGGGCCATGTCTCTTCTATCCCGTAAGCTTAGTCGGGGTGAGCTCGTCCAGGAACCAGGACACAGACTAGCCACTCGCCAACAATCCCTTGAGCTCCATCGTGGGCCAGACTGCGGGCTGTGAACTTTTGGACGTCCTCGTCTCAGTTCACCCCCAGCCCTGGACAAAAGCTTGTGTATCCGTGTCACTGTGAGCTGTTCGACCTGCCAAGGTCCCACTATCTAAGGTCTTGGCAGCGTGAATGAGATGCAGGATCAGGATGACTCCTGCGGGAAGGGGAAAGTATGTTGTTGAGTAGCCTGGAGGAGAGCAGAATTTCCCAGAATCTGCCCAACATCGAAAGATATAAGAAGGTTGCAAGCTCCCGTCCATCGAACTTTCCTTCTCTCTCTTATTCCTCATCACTTTCATCAGCATCTTCCGCTACAGTCTCTCTTTACCAATCCAACTACTCACATTCTTTAGCCCTGGTGGTTATTCATTCGTTGTCAACACTTCCAAACTACTTCCAACTCTACGTGTTTTCTTAAACCAACCACCACATTCAAAATGAAGTTCTCCGCTGTCCTCGCTGCCCTCTCGGCCTCTGCCGTCATCGCCGCCCCCGGTGCCGAGTCCTCCCCCAACAACTTCGGTGCCATCGAGAAGCGCGCCTCCTTCCCCATCCCCGCCTCCAAGGGAACCGTCACCTACAAGGCCGCTCAGTCCGTCAAGGGAACCTTCGATGGTGGCATGAAGACCTACGGCCGTGGCGTCAAGTGCACTGGCCAGGCTGAGGGTGGCGACAAGGACGCCGTCTTCCTCCTCGAGAACGGTGCCACCCTCAAGAACGCCATCATCGGTGCCGACCAGATCGAGGGTGTCCACTGCAAGGGCTCCTGCACCATCAACAACGTCTGGTGGACCGCCGTCTGCGAGGACGCTCTCTCCCTCAAGGGTGACGGCAACGCCTCCATCATTGGCGGTGGTGCCCGCGGCGCCGAGGACAAGGTCATCCAGCACAACGGTCTCGGCACCGTCACCATTGACGGATTCACCGTCGTCGACTTCGGCAAGCTCTACCGCTCCTGCGGTAACTGCAAGACCATGGGCAAGCGCACCGTCGTTGTTAAGAACGTCAAGGCCTACAACGGCAAGATGCTCACCGGCATCAACTCCAACAAGGGTGATACCTCCACCATCACCGGCACTTGCGCCACCTCCGTCAAGGAGATTTGCACCGAGTTCCAGGGCACCACCCCCGGCAACGAGCCCAAGAAGATTGGCAGTGGCCCGTCCAGCGCCTGCAAGTACTCCACCCTCAAGGCCTGCTAAATGGCTCGCTCCTGAGCTGTTTGGTATTCTTGAGTTCCGGTCTTGGTCGCCAACGCAGCTTGCTGTGACGGCGACGGTGCTGCTCTTGCCGCACTCAGTCTCCGAGAGACTGCGAGTGAACTTTGTTTTTGGTTAAAGAACTTAGGAGGGAAGAAACCACCCACATTTTTCTTTTCTGTGGTGTGTAAGCTGATGCGCATCACTTGGCCCCTTGGCCATTCACTGTATATATGGACATGGGGAGCATGTACCTACAATATAATCCTCATGACTTGACTCAACTACTTTCCCTTCTTCATCGTGAATTCCTTAGGCCTTGGTGACTAGTGTAGACTCAACCTCGATGAATTCGCTGATCTCCTATAAGCTTACCTGTTTGTATGTTAACTTGCGACCTCTACAGTGAACAGCGAGAAACAGCAGTGCTATCACATCATTCCTCAATGAGGATCCATCCTCTTCGCTTAAGAACTCTCAACTTCTCAAGTGCGAGTGGTTCTCTCCGACTCTTGGGGCCGGGGGTACTTGGCCTGGGCTGGGTTGATAAGCATTGGTTCATCTGCTGGCAGCAAAGTCGTGTTTAAATGATCCTTCACAAATAGAGTAGAGGACTCTCATCTGTATCGTCGGGATGCTCACTTCCGCCACCTCATCTTACCCTTCTTCGCCCGTATTCGTTATGTAAATCTTAGACGATGAAATATAACATGGATGACTGAGGGGAAAGAAGGAAACGGCAAAAAAAAAAAAAAAAAAAAACCATCCGGCGAGGATTGAATGGACGACGAGGTTTGCCTGGCATCGATGTGTTGAAGTCTCAATAAGATGAAGTTGAAGAGTGGGGCGCTTGGATCACGAAAGATGCATCCGCCTTGCAAACTCAACCTTAAACAAAGTGTCGATCCGATAGATCGGATCTGTCAAAATGCAGGTCATCGCAAGCGGCCTCCACCGGCGCCAACATGGGGAATTTGTTTCCTCCCGCAAAATGGCGTGGAACTCTAAGGCTAAGAATGTTCGTCAACGGCTATCACGGCACCGCGTGGACGGAAGCACGGCAACACGGCACCACGGCATCGCGGCACACGCAACCGAAGCCAAGCTGGGGGTCCTCAGTCTTACGCGTCAACTTCGAGCCAAGTCTGGTTCAAACACCCTGGCAGGTCTCCAGAATTTCCACAGCTGCAATGCTCATTGAGATTTTCTCTAAAACAGCTTCCCTCGCCCTTTATAGGAAAGACGAACAGAATACATCTTCCGGCCCACTCTGAAAACGCCATCGTATCATCCCTGACGACAGCGACGACCTTATAAGGCACCGTATGCACCTCCGCCTGGACTCCCTATCACCAGGTTGTTAGCAAACCAGCAGCACCGCCGTCGACGAACTAGACTCACTGATGATAATCCGATCTCCCTTCTTCATCTCGCAACTGTTCTTCCCGCCCAGGTTGATCTCCCGCGTCCCATACTCGTCATGCCGAACCCACACATTCTCGCCGAGAGCTCCAGGCTCGCCTCCAGCTAGACCGTAAGGAGGAACCGTCCGCCTCTCACTCAGCACACTGACGTGCAAGTCTCGACGGAACTCAATCTCTCGGACGCAGCCGTCTCCTCCATTATACTTGCCTCGACCGCCGGATCCTCGCCGGATCCCGAACTCACGGAGGATGCACGGGTATCGACGCTCTAGGGACTCCGGATCTGTAATTCTGGTGTTGGTCATGTGGACGTGTACGCCTGACTGGCCTTCCCAGCTTGGTCCTGCACCGGCGCCGCCTGCGATGGTCTGATTTTATAGGAATCAGCACACGAAGACTAACATGATACGAGATGATGGATGGCTTACCTCGTAGTATCCAAACCCAGGCTTTGCCTTTCCGTCGACCATCTCACCCCCATATCCGAACGTCAAGTTATTGCACGTTCCCTGACTAGCCGCCGCGGCCTGGAACGCCCTCAACACCACATCCGTTACTCTCTGCGATGTTTCTACATTGCCGCCAACTGTGGCAGCACCCAACGAAGGGGAAATAATCGTCCCAGAGGGTATGATTACGTTGATGGGAGCTAGGCAGCCCTGGTTCAACGGAATATCCTCCCTGACCAACGAACGCAAGACATAGATAATGGCGCTGAAGGTGATGGCCCGCGGTGCGTTGAGGTTGCCGTACATCTCCCGGCTAGTCCCTGTGAAATCGAAGACGGCCGAGCCCTCTTCGCGATGGATTCGGATCTTAAGCTTGAGCTTCGAGCCGTCGTCCATTTGGTCCTCAGCCTCGAGCGGCAGGCCACCAAACTGGTCATGAACTTGGCGGAGGAGGTTTCGGACTACCTTCTCGGCGTTGTTCTGGATTCCGAGCATGTATTTCTGATGTTGACCGTCAGTAATTCGTGCCTCTAACCATACTCCATCTTCTTCAGACAGACTTACCTGGACCGTCGGCAGGCCGTACTCCTTGATCGAGTCCTGGATGAGTCTGATGCCCTTCTGATTGGCAGCAATCTGTGCCTTCAGATCGCTCACATTATCATTCCACGTCCTCGTGCCGGAGGAACCAGGGTACGACGCCGGCTTCTTCAGCATAATCTCAGCAAGGCCTTCCTCGTCAAACCTGCCTCCGTCCACCAGCTTGAAGGACAGGAAAGAAGCACCCTCTTGCCAGATCTCCTTGGAATGTGGTGGCATAGAACCAGCCGAGATACCTCCAATGTCGGCATGATGAGCCCGAGAAGCAGTCCAAAAGAGGACTTCGTTGGTTTCTTCGTCAATGACCGGCGAGATCACTGTCACGTCAGGGAGATGGGATCCGCCGGCAGCCGGGTGGTTAGAGACCAGCACATCTCCAGGGCGAAGAGAGTTGCCCCAGCGCTCGGCTTGGTAGGCTACGGCGTAGCTCATTGCTCCTAGATGACACGGGATATGCGGCGCGTTGGCAACCAGACCGCCTGTCGGCGAGAAAATGGCGCACGAGTAGTCTAGCCTTTCCTTGATATTGACGGAGACCGAGGTCATTTGCAGTGATCTACCCATCTGCTCCGCTATGCTCATGAATCGGTGACCAAATACTGATAGTTGAATCGGGTCGACTTCGTCCGTTTCTGTTGTGAGCTCGACGGTTTCGTCGACGGAGCCTTGCGAAATCGCATTCTTTTCGAGAAGTAGGTGACGGGGAAGCACAGTCGCAGTCCAAAACGGCTGGATCATGATGGTCTGAGTTTGGTCCAGGATGATTGCAGGACCAACGACCCTCTCGCCCGGTGCAAGATCCTCGAGCTTGAAGAGGTCGACCTCATGCCATTGGCCGCTCGTATGCAACTTCGTCGTGCTGGCTCTCTTACTGCTTTCTACCAGTCTAATCTCAACAGACTTGAGAGCCTGAGATACGCCGGTCACGTTGGAGTCGGGCGTCTTGCCCAGCGCGCGGACGCGAATGTCCTCCACCAGGATGCCGCGGTCTAGGACGAAGCCGAACTCTTCTTCGTGGTGCTCGACAAATTGGCGAGTGAAGTTCCACGATCCTTCTGGCTTGCGGATCATGAGAGAGCTGTTGGTCCCTTTGTATCTCAGGTTGAGGAACAGCTCGTGCTCGATCTGCTCATCAGAGAACCCCTGGGCGGCCAAAGTCGCTGTAGCCTCATCCGTTAAAGCCTTGAACTCCTCTTCCAGCTGCTTATCAGAGAGATTAGAAAGCTCAGCCGCCTTAGGTCGCTGGATCTCGTGCGTCAAATCGGCTAGTGCCATGCCGTACGCAGACAAGATGGACGACAACCGGTGTATGACGACGCGCTCTACGCCCAGCGCTTCAGCGACGTCACACGCATGTTGCCCGCCAGCTCCTCCGAATGTGGCTAGAACATGATCTGATGTGCGAATGCCTCTCCCTTCTGTGAGTGAACGTATAGGTCTACTCATGCTTTCGTTGGCAACACGGAGGAAGCCACTGGCGATCTCTTCCGGCGTGAATGACTTCCCCTCTTCGGAGTTGATCTTCTCCGTGAGACTATGGAAAGCTACGGCTGCTGCGTCGTAGTCGAGGGTTTCGTTCTCCTTTGGTCCGAAGATAGAAGGGAAGTATTCGGGACGTAGACGGCCTAGGAAGAGGTTCGCGTCAGTGACTGTCAGGGGTCCGCCCTTTCGGTAGCAAACAGGTCCTGGGTGAGCGCCGGCAGACTGTAAGGCAACGTTAGTTCACATCATCATCGAGGCATTAATAGTTCGTGATGACTTACGTCCGGTCCAATCGCAAACAAGCCATTCTTCCAATGCAGAATCGAGCCGCCACCAGCAGCAACAGTATTGATGTCCAACTGCGGCGTCTGCAACGTGACCTCGGCCGTCTCCGTCTCAAAGACATGATCATACATGCCCGAAAAGCGACTGACATCCGTCGAGGTGCCGCCCATATCGAAACCAATCACCGGCATCTTGGTCTCCGGATCATAGCAGGACTTGCCGAAGCCGATTACGCCGCCTGCTGGTCCCGAGAGGATGGCGCGCAACCCGGAAAAGTTCTGCCAGAGACAAAGGCCGCCGTCACTTTGCATGAAGAGGAGCTTGCTTGCGATAGCGTCTAGACCTCCCTTAAACCCGCTTCCAAAGTCGCGGACGTAGCGGCGGATGAGTGGGGAGAGGTACGCGTCGGCGTTTGCTGAGTTGCCTCGGGATACCATCTTGATCTGGACGGATGAGCCTGTGAAGCATTTTGTGAGAGGAGGGTGGCTCGTCTTACCGTTGGCTGTAGTTCAAAGGAAACTGAAACGTCGAAGCCCATGGTACGCGCTAGTTCCGCTACCTCGTTCTCGTGATTGGGATAGAGATAAGAGTGAATGAAGCAAATCGCAAGACTTTTGAACCCCTCAGCTTTGAGATCGCTCAACTGACTGGCCACGACTTCCAGATCCGGCTTCTTAAGGACTCGAACCGGCTCGCCAGTCAACCCCTTCACGAGCCCCGGATCGCTTTCAATGTCAATAGGCTGCTTCTCTGGGTTCTCCAAGAACTCCTCCATCGTCACGCGCTCATCAACCTCGACAACCCTCTCATACAGATTCTTCAACTTGTGAATACTCAGGTCAAAGATGTGCGGCCGAGCCTGGTTGCCAATAACAAGCAGATCCCGAAATCCCTTGGTCGTGAGGAACGCGACACGCTCACCCTGTCGTTCTAAGAGGGCGTTGGTGGCCACGGTGGTTCCCATGCGAACTGATTCGACGTCTGAGATGTCAAGGGGCTCGTCGCGGGAAACTGGTGCGCCCCTGTAATGTGCCAGGACGCGTCTTATGCCTTCGGTGGGTGCATCTTTGTAGTTTATTGGGTCTACGGAAAGAAGTTTGAAGACCATTTCCGGCTCATTTGAGCCGGGTATGTAGGCGTGCACATCGGTGAAGGTGCCGCCGCGATCTGGTGATCAAATTGTGAGCCAAGACTGTCATGATGCTAGCCGAAAGTCTGCTTGCTGCAGACATTGACTTACCTATCGCGATTCTAATCTTCTTTCTACTTTGACCCAGCGAGCCCATAGTGAATGACGGTGAAGGGAAGATGCTTGGAAGATGTTATTCTTCAAAGTACGTTGAGTCGGCAAAGGCTGAGCCAACTGAGCGAGACAGTTACACGCATGCCACCGGTGTTGCGCTGAATGATGATATGAGGCACACTCATTGCCTCCTACGTAGGAGTCCGTCCCCGATCTAATCACTGTGTTGCATATCCCCCGCATTGTTTCCCAAATCGCACCATCCGATCCCCAATGCGCAGCTTATCAGGGCTGCCGCATTCCCGGGCTCGGCACCGGAGGCGAACCCCGAAGCTTCCGAAACCTCCTCCGAAGTGGGGCTGGGTATCGCAACCTGTGTGTGTCAGCGACTCGGCTTGCTGCCCCGAGATGTTTTCAAGGATTATTAAACTGGGGGCTAAGATTACTGAGGTCGATGAAGCGCATCTTGTTAACGACTGTGAGATGTTTCCGACTTTAGGGCTAGCTGATCTCAGGGTATGCCATCTAATCAGTTGGTGTACGGCACCTCCTTCCTCCGCTTCATCAATGAGACGATACCTCCTTATCGTGCAGCTCAGTCGCATCTTGTTGCCGGCACCGAAACCGGCTATCCAAAGGTAGAAGACTTTGACTGAAGATATTCTCTCTGCGGGAGACGCACTGACGTGATGCGTAAATCTGTTCCGGGTATGAGGATGCGGTCACCAGAAAATGCTTCGATAAGACCAATCTTGGTTGTGTCCATGAATTTAGCTCTTGAACCGAATGAAACCCTCTTGTTGACAAGTTGATAACGACGGCCTCATGATCCGAGCCGTGAATCAAAGGCGAACGTCAACTCGGTTCGCCAACCCGCTTCCACTCGGACATCACCGCACGTCGTATGCACATCGCGCGCTTCAATCGCCAATGGTTTCCGGGTTGTCAGGAGAGATGCCGTCTGCCAAGGCGATTGTCATGTGTCTGATAAGTGATTTACAATTGCAGATTCTCCTGACTCTGAACCGAATTGCGGAATGAAGATGCGAGCGACCTATCTGGTTTCTAGATATCGAGAGAGAAATGCAATTGAGGAGATCCTACCGTATTGCTGAATGATGACGTGAAGTCATGGATGCCAACAAGATGAGATGGACTGCGGGAATCTTTACATGTACTTGGTGATACTTTAGTCAAGTTCTTTCCCAGCTTCTCTCCATGGAATAAGATAATTACTTGATATCGGATCTTAGCACTATGCTATTCTTTTGGAATGTCGGAGGCGCAAGTCAACGAGAAAACCAAGAAACGGTAGCAGCGACGATGTTGTTAATCATGACATCGATGTCGTTCATTCAGCCGATATCCAGATCGACCGCTCCCAGGAAGCAAAAGTCGTGAGAAAGCTGGACCTGTATATCACACCCGTACTCTTCATCGTCTATCTCTCACGCTTTATCGATAGACCCAACATCGGTATGTACACATACCCAGTTTCATCAACCTCTTACTAAAACCTAGTTCCGATTATTTGTCTCCGACCAAGTTTCTAAACATGATACAGGAATTGTCAAAGTCGCCGGCATGCCCGAAGAAATCGGCGCCACCAATCAACAATACTCAACAGCCGTGTCCCTCTTCTTCGTAACCTACGTGCCCGTAGAAGTCCCAGCCGTCCTCCTCGTCAAACGCTTCGAACCCCGCTTCGTCCTGACAGCCCTCTGCGTAATATGGTCCGTCACGACAGTAGTCAACGGCTTAATTCGCAATGTCGGCGGCCTTTATGCATGCCGTTTGGTCCTCGGCGCCTGCGAGGGCGGTCTGCTCCCTTCTCTCAACATGTACCTCACCATGGTATACAAGCGAGATGAGATTGCAAAGCGCACATCTTACCTCGTCTCGTGCACGGCATTATACGGTGCTTTTGGAGGCTTGTTGGCGTACGGGTTGTTGCAAATGGAGGGTGTATGCGGGCACGTTGGCTGGAGATGGGTGTATCTCATCGAAGGGGCGTTTAGTGTCATATGCGCCTTTGCTGTTTGGTTCGGTTTGTCTAGCGACGTTCGGAACGCGTACTTCCTCAATGAAGAGGAGCGAGTGATCATGGATATGCGGCACCAAGAGAGATTGGATTACATGGGTAGTAACGAGCTTGGTTGGAAGGAAGTCAAGCTCGCGTTCTTGGTACCGAAGACTTGGCTTAGGTATGTGTTGCTGAGGATTCGAAGACAAGAGATATTTTCCTGACATTTATGCTCGCAGCGCGTGGACACAATTCTATCAGAACATTTTGACGAATGGATTCGGCACTTTCTTGCCCTCCATATTGCACGCTATGGGCCACGGCACGCTGGCTAGCAACTCCTTGACAATACCCGTGTATTGCCTCGGTGCGCTGGCATTCTTCACTTTTGCATTTCTCTCAGACAAGTACGGAAAATGCGGCATGGTAAGTTGAGTCATGCTTGATTCCCGTCGTATTGCTATAGTAGCAGCAGCAGCTGACTCTCAGCACGTAAAGTTCCTCTTCAGTACCAACCTTGTAGGCGCAATTGGCTATGTGATTTTGATCGGCGTTAACAACAATGCCGTCAAACACTTTGCCTGCTTCACTTGCGCTGTTGCAGTATATGATGGCATAGGGCTTAACCTGGCCTGGCTTATCGTCAACACAGCACCACAATATCGGCGTGCAACGGCCATTGGTATTCAACAGACAATCGGCAACTCAGCCGGTGCTGTAGCAGGCCAAATCTACAGAAGTTCGCCGTATGTTCTCGGGAATGGGTCTTCACTCGGAGCCATCTTTGTGGCAGAGTGATTGATCGTCATCCATTGGCTATTCCTCAGACGCCTGGACATGGAGAAGGAAGCTATCCTCACCGGTGCCAGGGGAGACACGCGGAAGAAGCGGACAGGTGACCGAGATATTGAGTTTAGGTACCGCCTCTGATTATATCAGTTGCCTCCCTATCCTGGACTGTACTGGTGTGAGGTGCTGTTGAGGCCGGATATAGGGCCGTTATTCGTGGTGCGAAACTTTCGTTGACTCGAGCCTCTGGCAGATTTGCGTTTATTGGAAATTTTGGTTCGGGAGCAAGTCCGAGATATCAAAGCCAGTACTTGGCCCACACTCCGTGCTCTTCCTTGGTACCTCTGAAGGCGAACTCGAGTTCGGTGATGTCTTGGAACCCCTCTTTCACTTTGGGCTCCTTGAAGCGGGATTTGAATCCATTGAAGGCCATCCTAGGGAGTGATGTTCGTGACTCGGGGTTAAGCTGTCATACATTAGCCATAGTTATGTTTCCGAGGCCAAAGTCGGGCTTACAGATTCATTCATGGATCGTACGGCGTCATTGTGTTCGCATATATGAAGAGGTGTCTTGAACCAAACACATCTGATTGGAACGTCATTTTTGGCTGCAAGCTGAACCCAAACAGCTCTGGTGTCGGGGTCGGGATTCGTGTTGTCTGGACCGAGTTAGTGCTTGAACATGGCGAAGGAATTCGCGCCGTAGCTGACCTATTGCTACCGACTGGCCTTCACTCAGTAGTTCTTTGGCGGCCTGCACGCACTTGTCTCGACTGCCAACACGTCAACAACTAGAAGGATCCGAGCAGGGTGAAGTGAACTGACGTCTTTAACGTGTCCTGGTTGATACGTTCATACCCCAAGGGCTTGAGGTACTTCCAGAAGAACGTACTCTTCCCAGCACCTGGTGGACCACAGGAAAGAACGATGTCCTGTTTGTTTTTCTTCTCAAACAGAGCATTCGATGCCACTGAACTAGAATCCTCTGGATACGGGAAATGCACGATGTCGAATTCCCGGACAAAATCCCGAGGTTTCTCATCAAGGAAGAATTCTTCCGGTGTCTTGAATGTGATCCCGATGTTGTGGGCCAGGTTTCGATCGGAACAGCTGAAGTCTTTGGAGAATTTCGATGCCGCGATGCGACCGCCAGCATCGCCGACGAAGATACTCTCCTCCAAGTCAACCTCTTCAGTAAGGTCGTAATCAGCGCAAAGCTCCTTCCACATCCCCGGCCTTGGTTTTCTGTATATGTCTTTCTCTGTGGCGGCATATATGGTGGTTGGGATATTGAGCTGCGTCAACACGGCATTCGCCTTCTGTTTGAAAGCCGAGACTCGGTCTTTTGTCGATTTCGGGGTTTTTGCTTTGGGATCTGCGTGAAGGACGAGGCCAGCTTGGTTGGATAGTACCACAATACGATATCTACCGGGGTTAGCTGATTCCATTTAGTCTGAGGGATAAATGTTTATGCAGTACCCCTCATTTTTGTATAGGTCCTGCAGCTTTCCAGGCACAGAAGCATGCCACCATTTCCAGTCGTCGGCGGCATCGGCATGCTTCTTACCTGAAGCTGTTGTAATTAGGGTCGAGTCCTAGACGCCTATCTGTCAACTTCGATCGCTTGATGGGTATGATTTCGGTTGAGCTGGCATACCAGGTCAAAGGCAGCTACCTTCCTCCTCTTCTCTGATTCGGTCGGAGGCTCCTCTGGTTCATAGCGGCCGACAAGCAGGGTCGCGGGTGTATCGTCGTTAGGTGCGCGTTCGGTCCATATCGTACGGTCTTTTGGCTTTTGTGACGTCGGCTTGAAGAAATTTGCAACTGCATTTTCTGTAAAAAGTCCAAAGTTAACGGTGGTCCATGGCGTGGGCAAAGGAGAGCGTACTCGTCGTGCCACTCTGGACTTTCCGCTTGACAGGCGGGGGAGAGATCGAATCTCTGTGCTTTCGTTTCGTAGTTGACAAGCTCGAGCTCGACATGATCGCGGTGAATTGGGTGGTCCGTTGACTCAGGAATTGACAAATTATTCGGTCGTTGACCTTGAAAAGCGACGTTCGCATGTCGATGACCGTAACTCAAAGCTTGGGAAGGAAGCGGCAAGCTTTGGTGGGGCACGGCCACTTTACTGGCAGAAAGCGCGACGGCGCCCACGCGCCTGCGACGGGCAGACACGTGACTCAAAACGTCGAGGTACGTATCGTATCGGTAGAGCGATTTCACTTTCACTTTCACCTTCATCTCACTGAGACGCCTTTCTAGATCTCTTTCACGCCTCACTGCCGTGGTCCTTCCCCAAACTTCCTGCCAACCCCACGCAAATTGGCATTCAAGATGTATGAGCTATTTCTCACAACGCTCGTTGACGATGATGATATCCAGGCGGCATGCTCCGTCCTCGGCGGTCTCTGCGCCATGCCTGCATGGCAGAGTCTCCATCGCGTCCTTTACTTCAAGGGCCCAGGAAAGCCCGGCGGAATTCCGAATCAAAATTCAATCGTCAAAACCCCTCGCAAGGACATTCAGATGCTGTGGAAAGACCTGCATCAGCAACTGAGCCGTCAATCTTACATCCTCCAGGCCCGATATGAGGTATTCAAGGATAAGGACTTCGGCCCGACCGCTCCGGAAGTGGACTTCAATGCGCGCCCCGGCACCCTCCGATGGACTGATTTCCCTGATCCTCCCCAGGTCCGCTCGTCGGTCACTCAGCGCAAGAAGACCGAAATTTGGGATCAACGAAACTTGTTGTCTGTGATGAAAGACAACAATTACCAGTAAGTTTTGCTCACCTGGCGTTGGCGATAGCGATCTGACAAGAACGCAGGTTCAAGAGCGAGGCCATAGAGGAAACCTATCAGTTCTTCCGAGAGGACGTAGAGTTTTGTCTTTCAAGACATTACATTCTCCAGATGAACGGCGACAATGGTCCTCTCACTCAAACTGCTGCATGGGACACCATGTCACCTGCAGACCCTGGGCAGCGATGGATGTTTCTGATTAAGGTTCATGTTCACCAAGACAACAAGCCCGATGAGATTCTCAAGGCGCACGAGCAGTTGGCCAATATCCGACGTGAGCTCGAGGGCGTCTTCGAATTCAAAACGTTTGACAGACGTATACACGATACCCGGGTTGCGGTTGAGATGAGAAATGCGCCTGCACCACTGCCTCAGGTCATGACCATCACAGACCAGCGGTAAAGGGCGGCTATCTTACCGAAATCATGGATCATGACGGCACATTCCCGATCCATGTTTGATAACACACACTCATTAGTTGGCAAGGCGATTTATGAGCTTGAGCACATGGTCGAGATCAACCACCATTGCGGTTCGCTGGGACTGTGCTCGCCAATGCCGCAGCCTCCAGTCGCCTGCTGAGCGTCGCATTGGACGCTATCGGGCCTTTGAATAGTGCAAGAAGCTTAAACGAGAACTTTGATGACTGCGGCTCTGGAATCCGAGAAAGAACTCCAGAGTCAAACCGTGGATGCTCACGATTTTGCCCCAAAATCGGTCAGAGAGGAAACCTACCCTCATCGAGTACCTTCAATACCCCTAAAGTTTCTTCCTCACAGTGGTGAGCTTCTCGCAAAAGAAATCACGCGGCAATCAAAGGAATTGCAAAGTGCAAAGTCGGAAACAGGACTTTGGAGATTGAGGGGGCAGAAAGACAGTACTCGGGAATTCGGCACGAGTACGAGCTGGAGTTGAGATACCTTGATAGGGAACCCACAGGTTCCAGAAGATTTCTTCCGTCAAGTGGGCCAATATGTGTCGTCAAGAATAGCCTAGGACTATGAGCTACCTTAAATCAGAGATGGCATCAAGCTTATTTTTGACTGATGCACACCGTTCTTAAACCGGCAAAAAAGTGCCGTTATTGCGCCTGTCAGTCATGAATTGACGTCTCTTCATAGGTTTGGCTCTGTTCATAAACAATTGAATCGATCCTCCTGCTAATTCGCTTAGTGACTGTTTTTGGTCAATCTATTCTGTGTTGATGGTCTGTGAGAAGAGACCAGCAAGGAAAAGAAATAGATATGGCACAGCGAACACCGAGTTGAGGTCGATCTACAAAGTGACATTGATCTTGGAGTAATCTCAGATAATACCGTGATTATGCGAGACGATAGAACATTGAAATGTCGCTCTCGGACATTGGGAGCTGAACTTTAGACCTCACAACAACATATGACGTACGATATCCTCACTTGCCGCCAGATGCATGGTCGAAAATATTGGCCTTATTTCTTTTCAGAGCGGCACGATATGGCCAAGACCTTTGTATCTTGCCGTAGCCCGTCCCCCCCTTTGCTCGTTGACGGTTGGCGCCATCATCCATGGACCTTGCATGGCCCAGGCGCCAGAACCGACGGCCCTGGTTTCGGAATGATTAAATGTGCAGCGGTCAGCGGTGCGCTGCGCTAAAAAGGAACCCCCATAGAAAAATTCAGTCGTCCCCGAACTGGCCCCCAAGATCTAGGCTCGTTTCACTCGGAGATGATTTCCCGCCTAAAGGCTTGGGGGACCACCGTATACTCTCCACATACGGCCACTGATAAGTTGGAAACCGAGGTGGTGAGTGGAATATTGATCCAAACTCGTCTTTTGGCGAAGCAATAGAAACGGGTTGGCATCTACAATTGGTGTTCACATACGGCTGAAGCCGGTCGAGGGTGTCAGTGCGGCGAACGAATTGAGTCAATCAATAACCGCAAAGGGAACTGTCAGAGCAAGCATATTGACTCGAGAGCGGCTGTGTTTTGTTCAACTTGCTGCATCGTCTCCTGCCCCTCAGCTTTCAGAAGTTCAGAAGGACCAAAGGTCATCTTTACCCGTAACGCACGTGTCCGCCAGCGATACTGGCTTGAGCCACTGAAGATGGGCTTACAGGGCTCATCCAGGAATGGACCACTTTGGGTGACACAACCCATCGAGCCCCAGGCCCGTCGCTCTCCCCTGGGAAGGATGACGATCGCGGATCACTCCTTGACCCAATCGGAA